ATTAGGGTTCCATATGGCCTTTCCTAGCTTCGCACACGCGTCTACAGCGGCGGAAGCAAGCGGATGATCGCTTGCGATGCCTACGATCTTCCACGACAGCTGCCCTGTCTGCTTGTCCACCAGTGGAAACGTCGCCAGCGGTCGCAGCGACGACATGTGCAGCGCCGTGCGACGCGTCGTCGAGATCTCCGCAGCTTCCACCGGCAGCAACGCTGCAGCCGCCGCTGCGGCGGCGATGGCGGAAGGGGGGAAACCGTCTACACCCGGCGCGGCCGAGTTTAAGAGAGCGTGTAAGGCTCCGCCAGGAGCCCACATGATCGTTTGCGGCAAAAACCCCGCGTTTATGCGACACATGCTGGTGCTGTCGAGAGCACTCTCGCACGGTCGCAGGCAAGCGAAGGTCAAGGCGGCGACGGCACTTCCCGAGGAATTAGAGGAGCAGTCGGCTTGGCGCGCAAGAAAAGAGGTCGAATTGGAGGAGGAGGAGGAGGTGGAGGAAGACGAAGAGGAGGGATTCAGGTTGACCCAGAGCGGTTGGTGGTGCCATAATCGTCGCACTTCAGTAACAAATCGGGCGGCGGATGTAGCCATGATGGCGCCGTCGCAGCGGCTGTGAATACTACACGGAGCGCTGTTTCTGGCGGTTATGGCGGCGGTGGGGATGGTGGTGAGAGAAGGAGCAGCAGGATCGCTAGGGAAGTTACGCGCGGGAAGGACGAGCGTAGGAGGCATGGGTCGACGTCAATGCGTCAGGGCGGGAGTAAACTCGTAGGCTGTGAGGTTAGCAGTAATAGTGCTAGTATCAGTACATATGAGACATGTTCTGGCCTTTTCGAAACTGTAGACTAGTATGGCCTGATGAGCATCATCTGTTTGGTTGCTCCGTAAGAGCACAAGCAAGTTCATCTGCTACGGTTGTGTGCGCTAAAGGAGGAGGAGAAAAAAAGACTGCTTATCGGCGTCGAAGATGGGATTGTAGCTTACTTAGTTCGTAATCTCCCATGCCCAGACCATTCCCTGGACCTGGATCCTACCGCAACCAAGCTGGAGCTACGACAAATCGACCACTCTCTGATTCAGCTCCGCAAATATCAAAAGACGCCATGGCAAGGCAATAGAAGCCATTATGGAAGATTACGGCCTGAGGCAGGGAGGGGGAGGTAAGGGGGCTAGCAGAGGGTGCTTGTGTGAAACGGTGGGGCGCGTTGGAACGAGCAGCAGAAGGGGTGGGTGTCCTTTTAGATCAGTGTGGGTTTCATATACTGTACAGGGCGGGCCCAGATGGAATCCGCTCTAGAGAGAGGGAGTGGGAGAGGGGTAGGGGGTGGGGATGTGACGATGACATGACGAAGATGTGATGTGTGAAGCACGGTGGGGATCAACGAAGACAGTATCGAGGGCGGGACTGAAGAGGGCCTCGAGTCCATCGAGTCACACTCACACGGGAGTCGAGGAAAATGCACAGTACAGCACTGTACAAACGGTGCCCATTTCAAAAACACCAGGTAGGCAGGCGGCATGTGCGTGAAACGAGTCGAAACATTTCGCCACGTTCGCCCTTGTCGCCACGGGCAAAAATGTGACTGCAATATGAAATTGCAACGTGAATCGAGTTAAGGGCTTTAATCTCGTAACCAGGTTAACTTCTCTGATGACGGGCAACCGTTGTTGTTTATGAACTGTAGATGTGTTTCTTCCTCAGCTTGGTGACTGTACCCTGAAATCGGCACAATGGTCAATTTAGTCACTCACGGGCAAAACGTTCGCGAGTGATTAAAATTCTAATTATGGAAAACAAATGTTTTGTGATAGGCTGAGCATCGACTGTACAATCGATGAGGCGGTTGGTGGCTGGCTGTGTGAACCTCACGCGGGAGTTGGCCCTGGTTGGACGTAGACACCAAGGGCCCCTGCGCTGAGGGCTGACATTGGCTGCGCAACGCGAATGGGCACCAAGTTGAACCACCGAGGTCGCGCCATCCACGTTGTGTCATCACTTGTGCAGAGCCACCTGCCAGCCACTCCAACAGCACTCTTTCCTTACACGACACGAGATGAACGACTTCAGGCCAATCCCGAGATTACACCTGATGCTCGTTAGAGCCCCTCCCGTTTGCCTTGTGAACTGGGTCTGTAAGCTAAACCTGCATTTCGCGGGGCATTCGTGAATTTCGTCAGGCGTCCAGCGTGCTTTAAAACTGCACATGGTAACCACCCAGTTTGTCTGTGTCGCAACAGTAAGGGGTTGCAGCACTTGTCCCTGTTGTGTGTTTAGGGTTACTAAACGAGCGCTACAGTACCGAAACAAGCATGCACAACAATTGTTCTTCGTAGTACAAAACAGTCCAAACACAAACACCTTCCAATCAACATCCTCCACCTGGCCCATCATCTCCATTCAACACAAAAAACGAAACACGCACAAATGGGCACAAGGAGTGAACACTTGGGCTCTCAGCAAAATGCCTTCGACACCTTGCGAAGTCTGCTCCACCCCCCCCTCACAGACGCATCCACTCAGCCGCGTCCACATACCCGTCCATCACAGCGCCCACACCGGCGTCAAACAACTCCTGACGGCGAGACGGACGGGTCATCCAACCGGGCAGCACACGGCCGCGCGGACGAGGGGTCTCGGGCGTGGAAGTTGCGCCCGGGGAGGGTACGGGCTGAGGCGCCACGTTGAGGTTGAATGACAGGCTCGCCCGCTCCATCCGCGCAATTACGATGGGGTTGCGAATATCGAGCAGATGGCACAGATCGCGCGGCGTGATGCGGGTGGCCCGTGCATATCCGATGAGCATCTCGCATGCCGCCCGTGCAGTGCGCCGCGCTTCGCGGCACACTGGGTCGGCGTCGTCGTAGACGGCTTGCATGGTCGTCGGCGCGTGCCAGAGCTCCACCTCTAGGCCCGCCTCCGGCTCAGTCGTGGGCTGTCCCGCAGCGCCCTCGGCGCACGTTGGTTCGTCGTCGTCGATGGCGACGTACTCTGCGGCCGTCATCGTCGCATTCCCGAGGGCGAGCCCGCTAATAAGCGTCCCGACATCGTCGATGTCGTCGTCGAGCTCGATGTCGGGGTAGACGGCGGGGGAGGGCTCATCGTCGTGTACCTGCGTAAGCTCCAGGGACCACGAGAGCGGCAGACACCCCGTGCGCCACCAGCACCGTTGAATGGTGCGCGCGCCGACCGAGGTCCACGCGTCCGACAGCCACGCGAGGACATCGCGCAAGTTTGGGCAGAAACGCGCGACGGCGGAAGTCGCGCCGTCGCCGTTCCACAAGGCCGAGAAGGCCCGCAGCCAATGCTGTCGGTAGCGGGCCTTTACGGTGGCTATGATGCCTTGATCGAGCAGCTGTTTGAATGCGGTGGTATTCGGCGGCAGGAAGACGAGCTGCACGTTGCTCATGCAGGTCGTCCGCATGCCGCAGACGATCTCGCTCCATGCGAGCTCAGAGCGGAGCATGTGGCTGCTCGCGATGTCGAGCAGCAACACGATCTTGCGACCTTCGGCGTACATCGCAGCATTGAGCTGCAATATGAAATGTGTGAATAACTGCAGGGACGGGAAGGGAGGGGAAGGCGGAACGTACACTGGAACATTGTAAGCACAAACACATTCCATACAGATTTGATATTACGCGTAATTTGTCCGCAGCAACAAGAACGGACGACACAAAAAAACACGACGAGCTTACTGGCGAGGTCATCCAGCCTTTCGCGTTGTGCCGCCAGTAGCAAAGGGATTCAGGGTCATAATCCGGGCGGAAGTCATGCGGCCGCTTCGCCTTACTGATCACGAGTGGTCGGAATATGTGGCTCCCGTCAGCATTCACGAGGAATGCCACGGTGAGCCGCTCCTTCGATACTTTGCGGCCGGGAATGCGGCCGTTGCTGTAAGTGCGCCGAGGGAGGACTGACAGCCAGAGCGCCGTCTCATCGAGGTTGAAAGTGTCCCGCGGGGTGACACCGAGATGCGTGAGGAGTTGCGGCAGCTTCTCACGTGCGTGGCGTACGGCGGCCATGTCCGCGCTAGCCGCCTCGCCTTGTGCTGCACGGCACCTCACTCCCTGGCGCCTCAAAGCACGGCGCACCCAGCCGATGGAGCAGCGGAATGAGGGCGGAATGCCCATGTTCTGGGACATCGTCGCGACATGGCCGCGGATGGTCTGCAGCGTCAGAGGCACGCCAGCGGGCCCTGCGTTTGCGATCCACCGCGCCATGGCCTGCTCCAGCTCAGGCCATGCGCCACCTCGACGGCGCACTTGGTTGTCACCGGTTGCCGTGACAGCCCATCGCTCGGCGAGCTTCAATATGCGGCCGACGGTGGAGCGATCCGCGCGCAATCCGTACTGCGTGTAGCACCACCTCGCCAGGTCAACATGACGCAGGCGGGGGTTGTCGACGTGGTGCGCGCAAATAGCGCGCTTGATATGGAGCGGGAGCTGCTCCCGTCGATTAAAGCGGGGCATTGTGAGCGGCTGGGGTGTGAGAGAATGCTGAATTTGTGAATTAGTTGTTCGATTTTTATCGTCATAGGTCGGGCGTGCTGGGGCCTGTTCTTTGTTGCATGTCACATTTTTGTGGTTGGTGTTCGTTCCATGCACATGGCTTGCATTTTTTATCGTGTGGTTTGGTAACCACACCCTCGAATGTCTGACGTGGGGTGGGCGAAGCACGCCTGGCTGGTAATGCGCTTGTACCTTGCAAGTCCCGAATTACACGTGGCAGCTTGTATCTGACCAAATGCCTGTTACACGCACGCTGATCCTTGCTTAGGTGGCGGCCTAGATGGGAGAATGCGTTCACGAAACCATAGTCGTTTCGTCCAGTCATTTCGCCTCTCCAACTCCTGGCCTAGTAACAAGGCAACAGTGGGCCGGCATGGCTTGTTCGGGACTGCACGTGCATTGATGGCCGTGTACTGTTGCCAGCCACCCATGTGCTTGTACTGTGGGAGCAGCAAGCAGGGGTTTCCAGCTCGGGGGCAGCGTTTCCATCCGGTGCATGGCAATTTCGCGTGCACTGGTCGGGCATCATGTGTACTTGGATGGGCTGATCGGACGGTCAATGCTAGTCGTACAACACCTAGGTTGTCGCTTTATCAGGTTACATTGGCTGCGCCTGTTACACCCTGTTTCTCGACCCTCTCACCTTGCGCGATTCGTTGCTACAGTGCGGTCAGGTGCCATAAACCGTATGGCTGAAACCTGCGGGCAAAGCCGCACCAGCTGAAGGAGTGGTCCTGGGGGCAAAATTTTCCTTTATCGCTGTATACCCTTTTCAACCGCTTTGAAACGCTTGATTAATGTTCTTTACCATGCAGCATCCTAGCTAACCGCTTTCTTGTGAATGTGCTTGTACCGTCGGTGATAAGACCATTTCAAACGTGGTGACGTTCTACAACCAGTGCATGTTATGCAACCAGATGCTCTGCTAGCGCGAAACAGGGTGTACAGAGAGAGAGGTCGCCCGCTACTGCAGGAATGGAGATTGGGGAATTTTGACCGCGTCTCACCTTTTGTCGCGAACGCATACTGTACACTCCCACCCCGTCCCTCACGCAAAAGGCGGTTTTCCCCCCACCCCGAACCAACCACTCGCCACGCCACCATCCCAAAGGGGAGCCAATGGAACGCGTCAAACTGTACAGTCCCACTAGCCCGGTACAGTATTAAGACTGCTGGTCAATTCTTTGGATGGTGCCTGCCTTTCCTTCATTAGTGCTGCTGCTTCTAGGTTAATCAGAACATTTCATGCTGTGAAGGAACCCACATAAGGTAGTCTAATGCTAGGTACGCAAGAACTTGACCTGCTGATTCCATGAATATGCAACAGAGTGTTGTATTGGCATGGCCTACTTGTGCTAGCTCTGCGGATCTTGTTGGCAAGCAACCACTTCTTCACCAGCGTATGCTATCATCTTGTGTCACTCTGTATCGCTTCCTCTCCCGCTCATCCCACGAAGACCACGGGTTTTCTGCAAGCATGAGGGGACATTATCAAAGTACACGAGTGTAAATTCAATGAAGTGGGAGAGATGCAAAGGCAGAAATGTTGTTTTCATACAAAGCACAGCAACAGGCAGGTACATTTGACCACAGCCAGGCAGGTAACTGCAGCAATCGAGTGAATAAAGGAAGGATCAAGGCAGAGCATCTGACTAAGCCACACCGAGAACCATGCTACACACCTTTTTTGATTTCCGCTCTCTCACTTGATACCGCTCGCAACACACTCCAGTCAGCCAAGCGCCAGGTTGAAGACGCTGCCACAGGGAAGAAATAGAAAAACAAGGGTAAAGAAAGCAGCATATGCTCACAGAATCTCAACACTGTACGATGCATGGAACGCACACAGAAGCAGCAATTGCACACAGTGCACTGAACTGCCACAGCTATTGCAGACTGCCAAGCTAGCCCCGGCACCATCAGGTTTCTGAGCTTACCTGGACACCTTTCTCCGCTGCTTTTGATCGCTTCTTCGGGCGCAGAGGAAGCCTCCCTCCTCGTATGGCCCAGAAATCTTCCTCCTTTTCAACGCGCGACAAGCTGATGAGAAACTTGGGAACCACAGCAGCTGCTTCTGCTGCTGTTGGCAACGCTGCTGCCGCAGCTGCCGCCGCCGCCGCTGCTGCAGATGCCGCAGACAGCGGGCAATGCCCAGAGAAAATCAGGGAGGCCACAGAGGGGTGTGGCGTGCTGAAAAGGTCCCGGTAGCTCTGGATCAACCCACAGCTGCTATGGTCTTCCCACGAATCCTCGCCTGCAATCACAGCATTTCTTTTCTTGCTTCCAACTTTGCGGGCCTTCTCCCCAAGCTGGATCCTCTTCCGCTCCTTGCCTCTCTCTCTACCTCGGCCCTTGTACTCGCGAGCGCTGTGCAGCGGCTGACCATGGTGCCTCTTTCGCCTTGTGTGGCTGCGAGCGGGACACGAGTCATCGCTGAAAGCCCCTTCCCCGGCATCTATATCGTATCCGTCTGCTTCGCCACCGCCAGAAACATCCCCATCAGCATCATCATCAGCAGCAGCATCATTATCAGAGTGAGCGTCAGCGTCAGGATGAGCACAGGTACTATCATGCACGTCATCAAGTCGCAGAAGCTGCTGATCGCACTGTTCCCTGGCGCCCCTTCCTCGCGCCTCCTTCTCGCCCCTAGAGAACAGAGCAGGCAAGCTTGGTTCGTGCACGCGTGCAGAAGCACGTTTCACCTTGCAAGGGTAAGCAAATTCCAAGACTTTTGTCCCCGAGGCAGTCGAGCCACGTCCAGCCTCTTCCTTCACCGATTCTCCCTCCATCCTGTTTACCGCTGCTTTATTCTCCTCCGCTCCCTCCATCTCGCACGCTTCTCCGCCCTTCTTCGCCCCTCTCCCGCATGCAACCCGCAACCGGCATGCATCCTCTCCCGCACGCTCGCCGCTCTCCCTCCACTCCTCCTCCCACGCACCCTTCTTCTCGTCCTTACACACTGCGCGGACTGCAGAGATCGCTGCAATACTCGACACAGGAGCGCCAGCCAGCACGGAAGGATGGGAAGGAGGGCTGGTGGTGGTAGGGTTTTGACTGCGAACGTACCTCAACCGCTTCTTCTGGCCCCACCGCAGAACCTGACATACAGACTGACTCTCGCCTTCCGCCGTCGCTGCCTCCGCGGCTCCTCGCGTGGGTGTTGTGTCTGAACCGTGCTCGTCTGCTGTTTCCGCAGCTGGAGAACGCGCAAACGCGTCGGTTGATGGAGGGGATTGCGCGGCAGACGCGGGGTGGTCCCAACTCTTGTCGTGGGAGCTATGGCTGCCGTGGCTAGGGGAACTACACATGGTGATGCCTGTGACCGGTCCTTGCGGCAAACTGCAGAAGGTAACGCCGCCGACGCCGAGTAACAGGCCTGTTGATGATGGACTCACTTCAGCTGCCATGGCCAAATGGACCAAAAGATCTCAACCCAAGTCCCGCCTCTGAAGTGCAGCGCAGATCCGTCAGAAAGGCAACTTGTTGGTGAGACCTTTCAAAGGGGGGTTACGGCGATTTGTCCAGTGGTCGGAGCGGGATCAACACGTGTTCAAACAAGGCTCCAGCCTGCAAAAAAGAGAAGTTGACATGGAATTTGTCAGGCGCGTGATAATGAAGTCGTGAAACCTCCGGCTTCCAACCCACAGACAAGCAACTAATTCTAAAAAAGGGGGAAAATGGAGTCGTTGCTACGAAGCACGTTTCACGGAACTGCTGAAGTCGTTTTGTCAGATCAGGATTCACGGTTACGCCTAGCATCTCTTTCCATAGGAACCATAAGAAATCACGTTCGTTCAGAACCAGTGAAACAGATAAAAAGCAGAGGGTTTCGGAAGTGCGAGAATCCAGATAAAACAAACGGATGTCACGTGCTAAGTTAATTTTTGTCATGTAGGCCTTTACCTTGTTAAATAACGCTTCACGTAGGACGGAGATGGCGTAAATCGTGCTTTCGCGAGTAACTGATTCCCAAACAGTGCGAGCTTGGGAATCAACCAATCCAGACGACGTGTTCACAAAGCTTCGAAAGATGGAGAGCAGAGGCATCCGGTGCACGACGCCTGGAGGATCTGAGTGAAAACCACGGCCTACTTCACCAGGTAAACGGGTCTCCTACTCAGGAAGGCGAAGGTGGGTCTAACCCCAAATGTAAGAGTATAACGCAAAAAGGATGCAAGGAAATGAGGAGGCGGACTAGGCCTGAACAGCTCTTTACCCAGCTTGAGCATCGCTTGCTTGACTCATACATGCCCTTTTTCTGCTTTCTCCGTCCCATCCCGTTCCGTTCTGTTCCGTCTGCCTGCATCAGCAGCGGCATCGCCGTCAGTCACCAGCCAACTTGCGATTTTCCACCTTTTCTCTCTCGACCCCATCCACGCCATCACCCATAAATCGCACCAACCCTTCCTGGGACCACGGTGTGAGTCGCTGTAAAACGGTCCTGTATTCTAGAGTGGGATGTGGTGTGGTATTGAGTGGTGAGTATTAGGCGACAGATGTTGTTGGGAAGATGCGGGGGTCAGGCCAAATGAGCCGAGCCGAATGAGCCGAGCCAAAGCACATGGTTGGTTGGGTGAGGAAGCAAGGAGCATTATGTAGGCTAGGGAATGAGGACGACACGACCGCCCTTGATGTAACGAGCCATCGCCTTAGAGGGCGCCCTTGAATTAGCGGCTTCCATTCATTCGCTCACTGGAACAATAAATGGGCGGCTCGCCTCACCTGCCTAAATCCATAACTTCCTCGTTAGCGCAGGAGGACCAGCTGTGGATGGGTAGAACCGCCAAGGCGGGTATAGCTTCTGCATGAGCTAAATGATTGAACTTATCTCACAATCTGTAAACAATATATCTACTCACCATGATCAAATTGGTAGGTTGCCCAATACCGCAAATCTGCTGTTCAGCTTGTGGATTATGCCGAGTTAATTCACAGCTACCGATGCTCCACTTTCCACTTTGTTCAATGTATTTGAAATAATCAAGCATCAGTTCCTAAGGGCGTGTGTGATTTTTGAAACTGCCATAAGTTAATGTTTTTAACTTGATTGTAGCATGCGAACACAAAGTGAACGTTATTCGACTTTGAGCTACAGCAAGTTAGAACCGCAGGTGTCAAAGGTGCTTGACTCACATTCACACACGCAAGTGCGAATTTGGAGGTTCGAGATTACTGGGGGTGAACCGAGCCGCCTATATGGTGCGTAGGTTACCTGGTGTTGTCTTCTTGACAGCGCGACAAGTTGACGAATGATTCGCAAGCGTTGCTGGTCCTTGCTTATATTACCAAGAATCCAGTGGATAGGATAGAATCTGTTAAGTCTGAGATGAGACAATGAAGTCTCTGTAGTGACCTTGTTGAATAATAATTGTAAGAGAACAAGATGATTGAAAGATAGGAGTACAAGAGATTAAATAGACATATAGCTAGCCATGTACTATGAGGGGTGCACTCCCTTATTTACTGTATTGCATAGCTACAGTAACCGTGACTATTGCTATCCTCGACAGTTACCATGTTGCATCGAATTAATTGTCGCGCGGTTACTGGATTGTTAAGGGTCACGACCGTTGACTTCCTCAGACGGTTGATCTTCGGGTGACCCTCGACATTCCGCATGCTCTATATGAGCTATTGCGGTACTGGTACAGTGGAACAGCTTCGGGAATGCTTTATATAACCTTTCGGTTATTCGAACAGTCCTCGTATGTGTCTGAAACCACACGCGTTCGGTTCATCATACGAAACAACGTTTGGGTATATTATTGACTCTTGTTCACTTTTGTATGTTCGCATAGTTTTCAGAACTGCGTCAACATTGACCTAACATATTAGCGACATCGGTAAAACCGGCTACCACCAAAAGTTTGACCCGTTTTACGAACTCAAAAAAAGAATCACACCCACCCTAAATGCTTTGTCTGTGGATTTCCACCAACCATCACTCTTTCATGATGGATAAACTCCCCCAGCATAAGATGAGCAACCATCGTCAACCAACAATTAGTTCGTTTTAGGAACCAGATGATAGTCGTTTTAGGATTCTTAGTCGTCATATTTGGCTATAGCAACACCGGTTTGTGCAGTGGATAGTGACGGGTTGCTCAAAATGGTGGTCCCGCAAGTTAGGGAGTGATTATCGTGACTCCATTTCCGCTTACGTCCTTCAACCAATGATTCAGCTGGTCCTCTTGGTCGGAGTGGAGGAGACGTACAGTTGAACAATGCGAAGCTTGGGAGCGATCTCTACCGTCGAATTCGACTTGCGAGCGGCGCGTCAGGAGCGATGACACCCTGCGATCCCAAAGTAGAGACACGACGAACGCGTGCATTTGAAAGTGTGTGGTGCTGATCGTCCATTCGCTTCGTCGTACCTTTGTCGCAATTGTTACTTCGCAAGTGTTTGCCTCGCCAAGAGCTCGTGAATCTGAGGTTAATTGCATATTTTGCTCATCGCACCCCGGACCTTGCAGCTCGTAAGGATACGTTTAGGAACCACCCTAGACACAGTTACTACAATCCATGAGGATCATAGGCTCCCTCACTAGTCTCCAAGTTAACTAACCGATGTGTAGCAAAGACCCGTCAGTTGCATTGGCCAGTTGCTTGAATTCCATGAGCATTTCGGAACAGGGTGATTCCAAGTGATAGCAAATTCGGGTTTGCCAGTTTCATTGAACCTGGCAACTCCCAGGGGCAGTGCGCCTTGGGACTACCGAGCAGGCAGCAGCATTCTACTGTATCGATGCCAGCACAGCACAACACAGCGCCTCCATTAAAATTGGAATCGTCAGTGGAGTGGAGCGGATTGGATAAAGCTGATTGCTGCGGCCGGGGGCTTTTTTATTGTCCTTCCATCAGCGGTGATTCCTTCCAAAGTGGACGCCATTTCAAACTTATTCAGATTCAGCAGCAGGATTATTAGCTTCGCCCCTAAACATCCAGCACCGCGGATCTTTAACTCCACCCCACATGGCGCTGGCCGATCAACATGCGGGGTAGACCCCGACTGTTTCGCCACAAACGTTTTCCCTCTCTTGACAACCGTGTTCCCGAATCAGACTGGGCTGAGCTAGCGGCAATGGCGGGCTCCGAGGATCACCATATCGGTATGACGCACACGCAGCAACAACGCCCTCTCCTCGCGTCCTCCGACGCTGCTCCGAAAAGCATGCCGACGTACCTGAGACGCAGCCTCGGGGCGCTCTTCTTCGGCGCGAGATCCAACGTTCTCCTGATCTGCGTTCCCGCGACCTTTCTCGCCATCCTCCATAACTTCCCTGATGGCTACGTATTCACCCTCAGCCTCCTTTCCTTGATCCCCCTCGCGGAGCGTCTCGGTTTCGTTACAGAGCAACTCGCTTTGTGCACTAACCCTACTCTGGGCGGGCTCCTCAACGCTACGTTCAGCAACGCTCCGGAGCTTATCATCGTTCTAGTGGCTCTTAAAAGAGGGCTCGTTCGGATTATTCAGCTCTCGATCCTCGGATCGATCCTGGGGAATCTTCTGCTGTGCCTGGGAAGCGCGTTCCTCGCAGGAGGAATTTACCACAAGCATCTGGAGTTTAATCGCCCAGCCGCGCAAATGAACAGTGGTACGTTGAAGCATCCGATCACCTTATTACCGATTGATTATGGTATAAGCACATCGCGGATTCATCGTGACGATATAAGCATGAAGCATGACTTGTTTCTGCTCGCTAACTAACAATCACGAGAACCGTCATCGTGTATCTTTCGGAAGGACCGGAAAGAAACACCCAGGTCATGCAGATCATTTACTAGGACAGCCCGCGTCTTTTTATTAGGCGCCCCAAAAACATACGCGAAGGTGACGCAGATCGTAATCTGAGAAAGCCCGTTTTAGCCCAGGGTTTTGCCGGCAGGCCACGCCATGAGTGCCGCTGCGAGAACCTTCCTTCTGTTGCAAACGAGTGCTGCTGCCAGGACCTTCCCCCCCACCTCTTCCCCCCTCCCCCCCCCCCCCCCCCCCCCCCCTTCTGCCTCTTTGCGCTTCCCCCTTGGATTCGCCTTTTCCGCCCCTCCATCGTCTTTCCTATTCCTCCAGTCCTCTCCTCTCTTTCATCGCAACTCCCTCCTTCTCCCTTCCTTCCCCTCCCCACCCCTACCCGCTTCCCGTTGCCTCCCCTCCTCTCCTGCCCCCCACGTTCCCCCCGGCCCTTCCGCAGGCGCGCTGATGCTCGCGATGAGCGGGATGCTCTTCCCCAACCTGCTGCACGCAACGGGCACGGAGCTCCACGAATACGACTCGCAGCTCGGCCTCTCGCGCTTCGCTGCCGTCCTCATGCTCTTCGCGTACGCCGCGTACATCTACTTCCAGCTCGTCACGCACCGCGAGTTCTTCGAGGAGGGCGAAGACGGCGGCGACGGCGCGGACGGCGGCAGCGGCGGCGGAGGCGGCGTGGAGCAGTCGGAGCTGGGCTTGTGGGGCGGCGTGTTCTGGCTGATTGTCGTGACGACGCTGATCTCCGTCCTGTCGGATGATCTGGTGAATTCGGTTGAGGGAACGGCCACGCAGTGGAATGTGCCCTTCTCCGGGATCTGCGTCGTCGTGCTGCCACTCGTTAATAATGTCACTGGTGATTGCCTTGCCACTACTCCTCCCCTAACCCCCTCCTATCCCCCTTCATCCCACCCCCCTCCTTCTTTGCCCTGCTCTCAACTGAACTTGTTTTTTTCCGCTTCCCATGAACCCGGCACCCCTCCCTCTTTCCTTCCCAACCCCTCCCCTCCCCCTCTCTCCCCCCCTCCTGTTACCGCTTCCCCTCTGCTTCCAGTAAGAATCTGAAATTTCTGAAGAACCATCTACTCCCACAATCTCCGCCTTTCTTTTTCTTCCCCGATCCCTCCACTGCGCCAACCAGGCCACACGCCTGCTGCTCTCTTGGCATGTGTGGCAAGCTCAGCTTGTCGTTGCTCTCCATTGCCTTCACCTCGTCCGTCCAGCTCTTCCCTTTTCCCCACATCCCACCAGAACACACATCCGCCATTTTCTTTGGTATGCGCGACAAGCTCGACGTAGCTCTCTCCATCGCAGCCGGCTCCTCCATCCAGCTTCCACACCTCTCAACCTCTCTCAACCCACCCCTTTCCCCCTCCCCCCCTCTTCGGCCTCCACCAGAGCACACGTCCGCCATTTTCTTTGGCATGCGCGACAAGCTCGACGTGGCCCTCTCCATCGCGGTCGGCTCGTCCATCCAGCTCGCCATGTTCCTCATCCCGCTCGCAGTCATCGGCGGGTGGATTATCGGAGTCCCCATGGACCTCAACTTCCACCGCTTTGAAACGCTCGCTCTCTTCATCACGGTTCTGATCACCGTGCTTGTGCTGCACGAGGCCAATGCCAACTGGCTCAAGGGGCTCATGCTTGTTCTCATGTACGCTATTCTCGCCGCCACCTTTTTCAACCACAAGGAGACTTTTCTGGGGCCGGATTCGGGGGGCGCTGCGGGGAGTGCGGCGGGCGGGGTTGCAGGGGTGCTGGGTGGGGCTGCAGGGATTCCGGCGCTGCACCATGATTTGTGATGCAGTGGCGTATGGTGAGGTGCGGTGGTGCGCGGTGGGGTATTTGTGTGATGGGATGAGATGGTGCTTGAGGGTGTGTGATGGGGTTTGAGGCGTGACATGGTGACTGTAATATGCAGTGATGACATCGTGATGTGTGCGCGTGGCACAAGCGTGCGCAGGGCAAAGTAACCCTGTTGATGTGCCTGTCGCAGTGACTTTGCCTGAGGGCAAACTGTCGGCTCTCGCAACCGGTTCCCCCGCCTGGCTCCCTTCTTTTCCAGTTGGAAGGATAGACTCTGATTGGGAACACTCGTTAACGTGTGCCTATGCTTGGCTCAGGGCGATGATCTGAGATGCGGTGGTGTGTGGTGAGGTGTGGTGTTACGTGGTGGGGTTTTCGTCTGATGGGGTGTGACGGGCTGTGATGGTGTTTGATGGGATGTGATGGGTTGTGATGGTGTTTTGAGGGTGTATGATGGGGTGTGATGGTGTTTGAGGGTGTGTGATGGGTTATGTTGTGGTTTGGTGGCATGACTTGGTGACTGTCATATGCAATGATGACATGGTGAATCGTGATGTGTGCGTGTGGCACGAGCATGCGCAGGGCTAAACCCTGTTGATGTTTCTGCAGCAGTGACTTCGCCTGAGGGCAAACTGTCTTTCTATCGCAACCAGCTCCCCTGCCTGGCTCCCTGCCCTTCAAGTTGGATGGGTAGACTGAAAGGGAAGGAACTTGTTAATGTTCTACCAAAGACTTAGCTCAGAGCAATGCTCTGAAGTTATTTATTATGCACACAGTATGCCCATGTGAGGCATGTGTTGTTTCAGATTAGGTGTCTCTTCTCTACGACATCATGTAACCCAAGGCGGGCTGGTCCTTGGGACTGTAAGCATGATATACCGTAACAGGTTTGTGCACCATGCAAGTGTTCATTCTGTGTAAAGTTGCTACTTGGAAAAGAGGGTATTTTAGGGCGTGTGCCTACGCTCTTATCAGGCAAACCTCTTGTCAGCCTTGCCTGGTAAAAGTAGCGAGGGTTTTTGGGTTTAGGGAATTTCAGGGGGAAAAGTAGCAAGCTTGATGCGGTAAGAGGTTGCCCTGATAAGGGCCCGTGGGAACACGCCCTTAGCCCCTGCAAATTCTGGAATTTCTTGAGCTGGGTACTACTGATACTCAAAATTGTCGGAGAAACAGCTCTGCCTGCCACCTGTGAAACAGCTCTGCCTGTCATTTGTCCTGTAATCTGATGCTTTTCCTCTCTTGAAAGAGACAGAGCTCTCACCCCAAGGGTCCTCCCTGAGTGGTGTGTCACCTAGCTGTGAGATGAAGGAAACAAATGTTGGGCTGACTGAACGCCCTAGGATCTTTTGGTAGAGTTAAAGTCTGAGTAAACGATGTAGTAGCGGAAGCGTTTGAATAAAGTCCTTGAACCACCTTGCGCTAGTATGTGAGGGCAAAGTAAGTTGATTAAAACAAAGAGATACAAGAATATATATATGAGTACAGAGAATATGAAGAGACATAATTGTACCGTATCCCCCCGGATATACCCCCATGGGGGGCAATAATAAAACAGGTTTTTTCATGGGGGTGGGCTTATAATCGAGTAAATTTATAAGCGCCGGCGTTTATAAAATGACATACATATTTTTTTATATCTTTTAACACCAAACTGTAGGTCTCGTGCTTGCCTTTTCAATCGAGTCGAAGTTACATGGGATCGTCTGTGAAATTCTCGCGCGCGCTGGGAGATACACCCAATCTGACTCACATCCAGCTCCTGATAGGTCCTGCTGACTGGACCCGCATCCAGTGCAGGGTCCGAATGTGAAGGGAACCGAATCTGCAACATATCCGCCTGCTAAAGTAAAAATCGTTACAGCTTTTTGAACACATTTCAAATTTTAAAGTTTACGTGCGCTTATAATAAAACAAGTTTTTTCAAGGGGTGCGCTTATAATCGAGGAGGGGATATAAGCGCCATATGCCAATTAGAAGCGCCAGGCGCTTATCCTAGGGTGGCGCTTATATCCGGGGGGAGACGGTAACTACTTTACTGTTGCGGTTCGATACAGTGCGACTCGGGCAACTGCTCAATGTCGAGTCAGCTGTGTGTCCTTGCTGTCGCGCTGCATTTGTCAAGTCAAAGGTCGCTGACCTTTGACTTTCTCGTAACCTCCAGCGGTTACATCAACTCCGAGGGTTGACTCGCTGGTGCTTCGATTTGCGCTGCTTCGCTTGTGTCTTGAAGTTTCGACACGACATAAGCGCTTAAGGCTATTTGTTCCCAACAACAAAGATCCACTATACGAAAGAAAAACAAACGGAAAGCAATGAGTGTGTGTGTGAGAGTGAATTTACCTGGCCTAGGCTCGAAGCGTGCATTTCTCAATGTGCGCTTCGAGCCTGGGTTGGTGCATCCACATTGGTTCATTGGATTGCACTCCTCGGAACTCTCCTACCAACTTCGCGACACTCTCCCTGGTCCCCAACTACCTACACCCCCGATCTTCACATACAGTCATATTACACTTGAAACTACACCGCAGCAAAACTGGCACCTTATATGCACAACCGTGCATATTCGGTGACAGCTGTCGGAGAAACAGCTCTGCCTGCCACCTGTGAAACAGCTCTGCCTGTCACTTGTCCTGTAATCTGATGCTTTCCTCTCTTTGGCTTCTTGTGCTGCCTCAGCCACTCCCTGCCCCCTCCTATGCCCGTGCTCGAGCAGCTTGAGCGCGGGTCACAGGACCAGTACGCTGAGGCCCGGTTCCCCTTATCACAGCCGTGTTCGTCTGGTGTTCCTTCAGCTGCGCCCCTTTCTCATTTTCCAGCACCAGCACTCCTGAAGGGCGCACCTCCTTGACTCTCCAACGCGTTGTCCCCAATCCCACATCCAGGGTGTCCTGCTTCGCTCTTTTCAGATAGACTTCCTGTCCTTCACATACGCCCTTCTACACTTTCCCGTCTCCCTTGCGTTGCCTTTGCTCATATCTCCTGGCATCTCGCAGCTGCGCGGTGTGCAGGTTCTCCAGCGCGGCTGGCATCATGAAGCCCATGTAGCATGCTCGGACATCAGACAGGGCCACCCAGTTCCTGATCGTGCCCGCTGTCACTGTGTCTGTCAGAACCCGTGGTGCCCCTACTTGCAGAATTGGCTCTCGTCCATAGAGTAGGCTGTACGGAGAGTGATTCCTCAGCGCTGCCTGCTTCCCGAATCTGTACCCAGCTGCTATCCATTCCAACTCATCATCCCAATCCCTCTTTCTCTGCTCCCCGTAGGTCCGCAGCCCTCGCTTGATGGTCTGGACTATGCACTCAGTCAGCCCGTCGCTTTGCGGGTGGTAGCGGGAGGTACGTCGGTGCGTGATGCCAGATTCCAGCAGCAACTTCTTAAACTCTCCCTGGAACTCTGTGCCCTGATCTGTGAGCACTTCCCCGCACGCTCCGAATCGACACACTACCTGAGCCTTGAAAGCCGCTGCAATGTACCTTGCGCTCTTGCTAGGAATGGCCCTTACCTCCAGCCATTTGCTCACGTGCTCAACCATGAGCACAATGTACTGGTTCCCGCTCCTGCTCAGTGGCAGCTCTCCCGCTAGGTCCAAGGACCAACGAAATCCCAAACCACAGATGGGCAATGACTGCAGTTCTGCCTTGGCCTGAGTGAGGTTCGCCTTGCTCCTCTGACAAGCCTCGCACCCTTCTACCCACTCTTTCACTTGCCGGCGCATCCCTTCCCACCACCAGCCCGTTTTCAGCGGGTGTACAGTTCTCTCGTGCCCGAAATGCCCCAGCTTAGTGTGCACCTCCCTGATCATTGCTTCACGCTCCTCTGGCGCTGGCACCAGCTTCCAGCCGTCCTATGTTTTTATCTGCAACTGCTGTTGAAACCACCTGTAGTGATGCCCTCGTGCCCTCACCCTTTCAGACACTGTCTCATCTTCCTCAGTCTCTCCCTTCACCCATTCCAGTGCCTTTGTATCCTGCCAAATGTCAGCTGGCCCCTTACTCCCCTTCGCACCGTTCAGCTCCACCTCCCTCGCCAGCAGAATCAAGGTATGCGCTGGCTCCAGCTCTGTCCGTTCCGTTTCCGTTGCCTTCTGGTCTGTCTCTAGTGATGGTGGGTTGCGAGAGAGACCGTCAACATGCTGTAGTGTCTTTCACGGCCTGTGCCTTATCTTAAAGTCATACTCTTGCAGCTTTACTGCCCACCTCGCGTTCCTGCCCGTCAGCCTTGGTGTGGTCATTAGCCATGTGAGGGGCTGATGGTTCGTCACTAGGGTGAACTCCCTACCCTGTAGATATACTCAGAAATGCCCCACTGCCCATACCGCCGCCAGCCCCTCCCCGATATACGAGCTGTACTGTGCCTCAGCCGGGTTGCAGCTCCTGCTGGCGTAAGCCACTACCTTCTCCACTCCCTCTACCTCCTGGCACAGTATTGCCCCCATCCCCTGACTGCTCCAGTCGGTGTAGAGGACGAAGGGCTGGTCTGCTGCTGGCAGCCGCAGCACTGTCACCGTCTTCACCGCGGTCATCAAGTCTTGCAGCGCCTCCCTCTGTTTCTCTCCCCACTCCCATGCCTTGTCTTCCCGCAGCATCCCGTTCAGCACCGTTGCTCTCTTGCTGAAGTTAGGCACGAAGCGTCTGTAATAGCTGAGGAAGCCCAAGACCGCCCGCAGCTCGGACTTGTCTCTGGGTTCCCTTAACCTGTCCAGCACCTGCACCTTCGCTTGCTAGATCCCTATTTGTCCCCCTGTGACCTCATACCCCAAGTATTGCACGGTCTGCTCCCCCCATCTGCATTTGTTGGGATGGCAAGTGAGCCCTGCCCCCTCTATGGCACTCAGTGTCCTCTCCACGTCCTCCAGGTGCTGCTGTTCGGTTAAGTTGAAGACCACCACGTCATCGATATAGCATGCCGCATGCTCTATATCCCGCAGCACCGCATCCATGATCCGCTGGAATACTGCTGAGGCGTTCCTTAGACCGAATGGCATGTACAACCACTCGTACAGCCCATCAGGTCCATGGAAGGCCGTTTTCTTCACATCCTCCTCTCTGATTTTTATTTGATTGAACCCCTGCCGTAGGTCCAGCGTTGTGAAAAACACCCCATCAGCTTGTCAAAGAGTTCTTCAGCCATCGGCATCGGATATCGGTCCGGCATGGTAATTTTGTTAAGATCCCTGTAATCCCCGCACATTCTCCTGCTCAGCACCTCGCCTGTCAAGTCTTTCCTGGCTGCCACCACGGTTGGGGTGGCGTACTCTGACTCTGACCTCTGAATCAGTCCTGCTTCTAGTAGCTCCTTGATTTTCTCTCTACATATCTCTTCATCCCCTGGTGGCATCTTCCTCATGCGGTGGAATACCGGCTCATCACTGCTCAGGTTTAGTGCCATCTCTTTAATCTGGCACTTCCCCAACTCCTGCAGGGTGAAAGCGAAGCCCTTCCGATGCTTGGCCAGCAGTGTTCGCATTGCTGCCTTCCCTTCCTCGCTCATGTTCTCACCTATCCTCCACTCTGGCTCCTCTTTCTGCAGGCAGGCCCACACGCCTTGTCTCACTGTTGCCACTGTGTTTTCTCCTTCCTTCAGTCCCCAGTTCAGCACTGTCTCCTTCCATATCCGCTGCACCAACCATCTCATCATGTACCCATCCATAGCGTTCCCCAATGCGCGCCTCCTTTCCTTCTCACTCACTCCAGGGGCTGCTGTTGCATTCTCCTTGTACCCCATGGCCAGCTCCCTCTCCAAAGCCGTGGGTTCTTCCCACCATCCCTTCCTATGGTCAAGTACAAGTCCTGGGCCCGGCTGCTCCCCATCCATCCGATATCCTGCTGCCCCCTCATAGGACACCAAGGTGGGTAATGCCTGCCTCTCCTGTCCCACCTGGTTGCACGGGTAGTGTCTGATATAGCTCCTTTTGCTTACTGATGCTGGAGTTCTTCCTGGCTCCAGTATGTCGCTCACCTTGCGCCCCTCTGCCCTCTGCACTCCCTCTATCTCCCTCTGCAGCTCTTCCACTGGCACCACATTCTGCCAGTACATCCTAAGCCAGTGTGCGTAAGCTCCCATTCGCACCGCGTCATTGCTCACCCCTTTGCCCACCTGCCTTCCCACTCTCTCCCTTACCAACCTCACTGGTTCCCGGACATCTCCTTCCATGTCCAAGTGTTTCAGCAGGTAGGCCAGTCTGCCCTGCCTACCTTGCACCCACTCCATAATCTTGAACAATTCCTCCATCAGTTTGGTCCTGGGGTCTAGCTCACCCTTGCCCTTTCCTGCCCATGATACCCCTTGGCACTCCCACCCTGCCACCAGCAGGTCTACATGCCCCCAGCTTACCACTTCAGCTTCCGTGATTGCTTTTACATCGTTCACTCCTCGGCTCATCGCTGCCTTGATCACGTCTCCCCTCGGCAGCTCCGGGAACTCTCTATGTGTAAGAATCCCAACCACTAGACCATTGGGATAAAAGGGCTTGTTTCAGTAGCGGGTCAGTGCGCCCATAACCCCCCAGGCGAACGCGCCTGTAACCCTCTCCAGGATCAATCGGGATCTCACAGTGTAGCTCTACTGACACCCCCCCACACTGGGAGGCCCAGGACTGAGCACAGTGGCAACGGACAACATGTGCATACACCGGGATTCGAACCCGAGACCGCTCTGATACCATGTCAGAATCCCAACCACTAGACCATTGGGATAAAAGGGCTTGTTTCAGTAGCGGGTCAGTGCGCCCATAACCTCCAGGCGAACGCGCCTGTAACCCTCTCCAGGATCAATCGGGATCTCATAGTGTAGCTCTACTGACACTATGCAGCTCCCATGCATGATGCTCCGCTATTTTTCTCACCTCTGCTGCCTGCTCCACGTAAATCCACTGTTTCACTGCTATTCCATTCCGCACCACTGCTGCCAGTCCTGCCCCTATTCCCCCGAACAGTTCCACCAGCCGGATGGGTTGCTGCCAGTCGGTCTGTTGGCTAGGCTCATCCATGAGGCGCATCCTAGGCTCCCTGCCCGTCCCTTTACCAGCCACTCCCTCTTGTGCCCCCTTCTTCGCCGTCACCTCCTTCTGACCTGCGCGGTAGGCCCTCTTTGGCTCTGTCTTCACAAACTGCACCGGCAGCTGCCCTAGCGGCTCACCCTTCCTCCACCACCTCGTTCGGAACTCCACTGTTTCTTTCCAAAAGCAGATGATCATGCCCAATGCAAAAATCATCTCCGTGCCCAACAGCACATCAAAATCTTCCGACTCTGAAATTCCACACCTGATTCTGACTGGCGTCTCGTGTTTCTCCCCTTTCAGCACCGTCAGTTCTATCGGAGTCCTCGTGCAGGGCATCCATTTTGACTCTCCTCCCTCTGCTGTCATCACTAGCATCCCCTTCATCACACGTCTGTCTGGTGCCCACAATCCCAGCTTCTCGGCCATCCCTTTCCCGAGTATGACACTCTGTGCTCCAGTGTCTATGATAGCTGTCTTTGCTTTCTCCCCTTCCACCGTTAGTGCTCCATTTTGGATCAGCAACACTGATGTTTGACACGCCAGCCGCTCCTGCGAGTGACGTGCAGCAGTGCATCGCTCTTCCTTCTCTTCCGGCTTCTGCCCCCTTTCCCGCTCCTTCCTCACCTGTTCCCTTCGCCCATCCTTGCCTCCACTGCGCAGCCCCATCTCTTCTTTCCCTCTCCATGCCATGTATGCAGGTTGCTCCTCATGTTCCACCTCATCATCCTCCCTCATTCCCCACGCCATGAGTGCTCCCTACTCTTCCTGTGCTACATCTTCTTCCTCCTCATCCCTGGCATACATCCCTGCCTCTGCTTCGCGTCGCGGTCCCAGTGCCTGCAGCTGCGCTTGCAGCCGGCTGATCTGCTTCTCCTGTTCCTCCAGTTTCTTTTTCGCTGCTCCCTCTCGCTGGTAGCAGTCTTTTGCCGCATGTCCTCCTCTCCCACAGATTTCACACTTCGGTGCTTCAGGGCATTCCCGTCGCCGGTGCCCTGGTTTCCCGCAACTGTCACAGTTTTTGCAGTCCTTGCGAATGTGTCCCGGCTGTCCGCATTTGTGGCAAGTCCGTGTCTCTGGCCTGCCCTCTCCTCGACCCACTGCCTTCTCCCTTTCTTCAGGTATGATCGCTGCTGCCCAAGTCGGCCCGCGGCTTCGCTCCATGTTCTTGGGCCAATATGCCACATATTTTCTTTGTGCTAACTCCATCTTCTCTGCCAACTCGAATACCTCATCCAGCGTTGTGTCTGCCCCCATCTCATACACCTTCATGCGCAGCCCGTTTCCCATGGTGTTGTCCAGCCCGTCCAAGAACTTGCTGACCAAGAGGCCCATGTCCCCACATGTCACATCCTCCGCCAAGTTGATCAGCCGGTTGTAATAGGTGAGCAACGACTCACTCCTTCCTCTCCGGAACTCCTGAAATTCCCTTATCTTTTCTGCAGTGTGCCCTGGAAACTGTCGCTGCAGCCGCTTCAGAAATGCCTCTGTGGGGTCTTCCCCGTACCTGCCCGCCCTCTCAAGCAATTCATCCATCCTCATTCTGTACAGTAACTCCGCCTCCCCTTCCAATGTATTTGGCAGACTTAAGAAGAAATCCACCGCATCCATGCCGCTCCGCTCACATCTATATCTCACATTCCCCACTTGCATCAAGTAGTTCTTCAGTGTAGGCCCCACACGCTGGTCTCCTGAGAACCGCGCCGGCACTTCCACACGTGTGGCCATCGCAGCACTTCCACGCCCCTTGTCCCATGACTCACTTGCTCCCCTTTCCTGCCTTCCTGACGTTCCTCCTCCTCTAGCCCGCTCGATCCCCTTCCTTGCTTCTCTGGCGCGCTCCATGCTGGATGCCAGACCGCTGCCTACACCTTTGCTTCTGTGCTGATCCTGCCTTGCTTCCCAGCGCATTTCCTCCTCATCCCTCCTCCCTCGCCGATCTGGTGAGTACCTCGCTTGCGACCAATCTTCTCTTCGCCCTTGGCGCTGCCAGCGCTTCTCAGGTGTCGGGGATCATGGAGCTCTCCTTCCCTCCTGCCCATAACGATTGTCTCGGTGATGCCACTCCTCCTCCCATCTCCCTCTCTGTCCTTGCTGCAGATCACGTTCTGGCGAGCGGTGCCCGCCTCCATATCTCTCTTCACGCTGCGGACGCTGATCCAGCGAGCGATGCTCGCCTCCCCAACTCACACCCCGTTCTTGGTGCCGATCTGGAGAACTTGACTCGCCTCCCCACTTCCTCTCATGATGTTTGCGCAGATCCGGCGAGCGGGGCCCACTTCCCCGCCTCCCGTCCTGGTGGCGATACGAATCTGGCGAACGCGACTCGCTTCCATGCCTTCCCTCATGGCGCTGGCGCCGATCCGGCGAACGTGACCCATTTCCCCGCGCTCCGCGATGCTGCTGACGCGGATCCGGCGAGCGCGACTCGCCTCCCCGCCTCCCGCTGCGATTCCTCCACGGATCTGGCGAGCGCGACCCGCCTCCCCGCCTCCCGCTGCGATTCCTCCATGGATCTGGCGAACGCGATCCGCCTTCCCGTCTCCCGCTGTGATACCTCCCCAGTTCCGGCGAACACGACCCGCTTCCCCGTCTCCCGTCACGTTGCTGACGTGGCCCAGGCGAACGCGACCCGCCTCCCCGCCTTTCGTCATGATGCGGGCGCAGATCTGGCGCGCTTGGACCGCTTCCCCGCTTTCTGTCATTCTGCGGGCGCAGATCTGGCGCGCGCGTTGCGCCGCTGCCCTGTTCCCCGCCTTGCGCCTGCTGTTCAGGAACGAGCGCTTCCTTGCGCACGCTTCGTACGCTGCCCGTTCCGCCAGTCTCTTCCGCCTCGCCTGCCTTAGCGGGATTTGCCTCCGTTGCTTCCGCGGGCATGTCGCGCTGCTCGCCTGCGCCCTCCTCCTGGGCTCCGCCGCCGACATCAGCCACGTCGTCACGCTCAGATCCCTGCAACGAGTCCGTATTCTCGTCCACTCCTTCTCCTTCAGCGTTGAGGTCACCCTCTCGGCTCGAAAACAATTCCTCCCAGCCTCGCCCGCGACTCCGATCTTCGTGACGGCGGTAGCTTGCCTCCGGCGAGCAATACGCTCCCGTCTCCTGGCGATACCCCAGATCGCCACCTGCTCCGTGGCGCGGTTCCGACCGCCATGGATCACTTCCCGCCAGGGCCGATCCCGATCCATCTGCTCCTGTTCATGCGGATCCGCCCGCTCGGCGCTCGGGCATGAGGGGCACCTGATCTGCGCGAAAGGCAGGCCTCCGCGGCGACCTCTCCGGCGATCGCCCACGCTCACGCGAGTGTCCGCGCCATGTGCGATCCTCCTCGGGACGACCATACGTCCTGCCATAACGCAGCTCATACCCGTCCATCCTTGCACACGCGCACACTCCTTTCTGTTTGTTATGAAAGAGACAGAGCTCTCACCCCAAGGGTCCTCCCTGAGTGGTGTGTCACCTAGCTGTGAGATGAAGGTAACAAAGATCCACTATACGAAAGAATAACAAACGGAAAGCAACGAGTGTGTGTGTGAGAGTGAATTTACCTGGCCTAGGCTCGAAGCGTGCATTTCTCAATGTGCGCTTCGAGCCTGGGTTGGTGCATCCACATTGGTTCATTGGATTGCACTCCTCGGAACTCTCCTACCAACTTCGCGACACTCTCCCTGGTCCCCAACTACCTACACCCCCGATCTTCAGTCATATTACACTTGAAACTACACCGCAGCAAAACTGGCACCTTATATGCACAACCGTGCATATTCGGTGACAAAATAGGTAGGGTATTTTGAGTTTTGGTCCTGGCTGGTAGATGTATCACCCCTACCATATCACAGCCTTGACCAATTTATGGAAGAAAGTACCGCATATACCAAAGTTGAGCGTTTTATCATACAACAATTCGGTTAATAGACAACACAAATGGGTTCAAGTTTAGCACTGGATAACAAATGATCTCCTCCAGCCTGGAAGTGATGGTGTTGTGGGTAACTGCCACTGCTGGTAAGTAGCATGCTCAGCCTTACAAGGGGCATGACTGGGCTGTAAGAAGCAGAGACGAGAACACTGAGGGGCAGATGGAGTTGGAGCGAGGTATGGCAACCAAAAGCGAGCATGTGATGAACGGGGTGGTATGGTAACTGGTGGCAACAGGTGGGCTTGCTGACGGGCAGGTTCTGGTGATGGGCAGCTGACGGGCAGCAGGTTTTGCATTTCCAGCAGGCACAGCAGAGGGCCAGGGGAGAAGAGGTGTGGTGCAGCGCCGAGCCAGAGCCATGGGCAGCGAGAGGCTGCCTGTGACAGTGATAGTGATAACAGCGCCGCACGCAAATGCACTCACACACTTCTAGCCTGGGATAGGCGAGAGAGAGCGAGAATGAGAGTGAGAGGAGGCAAGATGGAGAAGGATGGGAGAAGAGAACGGGTGTACTGAACGCGGGTGTGTACGTGTCAGGGTGACAGGAGCACCAGGTTGCGCCGCAGAGAGGAGATGAGCGATGGAGGCAGCAGCGTGAGAGTGTGAGAATCCACCACTACTCTCGTCAGCGGCAGGCCCACCAGCTCTGTTAGTTTCCCGCCTCCACTGCTGCCGCTGCCGCTGCCGCTACCACTGCCACTGCCACTGCTCCAATGACCTCCATTTAAAGCTCTACCACATGATTCAATACCCGCGTTCTCACCCCTCGGTGCTGAATCATCACCCCTCTCGCAAGTCCCCTGCCCTAGCAGCAGCGTCTCTCCGCCTGATGCAATTCTCCCCTCTGTTGCTTCCCCTTGCCGCTCGCTCCCAGCAAGCAGCGGGCAGTGCAGGAGCACGAGGGAGGAGAGCGAGGAGAGGCGGGAGATTCCTTGCGGGAGGGCGGTGAGGGTGGGGCAGTTGAGCAGGACCAGGCGGCGCAGGGAAGGAAGGGAGGTGAGGGAGGAGGGCAGGTGGCGAAGGGAGGAGCAGTTAATGAGCTCGAGACAGTGGAGGCTGGAGAGGTGGTGGAGAGAGGGGCTCAGGTGGGATATACCGTGGGCTGCTGCTGCTGCTGCTGCTGCTGCTGCTGCTGCTGCTGCTGCTGCTGCTGCTCCTGTTGCTCCTGTTGGTTCTGCTGGTGGCGGTGGAGCTGCTGCTGAAGCAGGTGGAGAGGGAACTGCAGTGTGGAAGTAGAATTGCAAGGTGGTCACAGGAGTGCCCCCCACCACACCATCCGCCCACCGCCACTCTTCGCTACCTCGTCCAAATCCCATCTGCCCTCCCTTCCTCCCTTGCATCTCCCACTCCCACGCACGAAACCCTACAATCTGCTCCCCCCCTGCCTCCTCCTCCGCCTCCACCTCTCCTTCCCGTGAAGCCTTCCCCCTGCTCTGGTGCTCAAACCCAAACGCGTGTTCCCCAAGGTCCCACAGTTTACTGCCAGGAGTCACAACAGCAGCAGCCGCAGCCGCAGCACGCAGCGCAACTGCCGGCGGTGCTGCTGCTTCTGCTGTTGCGGATACATCTTCGGCTGCTGCTGCTGCACCTGGTTCTGCAGTCGACGATAATGGCGGCCGTGTTTCGGAGAAGTCAAGGGTGAGACAGCGGAGGGAGGAGAGCAGGTGAAGGGAGGTCGGCAGTGAACGCAGGCCGATGTTTGACCGGAGAACCAGCCGCTGCAAGCCATGTGCTTTGCCTAGGGAGTCAGGAAGGGTTACAAGCCCTCCTGGCCCATCCTCCTCCTCCTCGCTCTCCCGTTGTGCTTCTTCCCGCTTCATGTTTCCTTCGCCAACCCACTCCGCCTCCTGCTGCTGCTGCTGCTGCTCGTCCTCCTCCTCTTCATCCTCCTCTGAATCTCCATCCACCCTGTTGTCTACATAAACAGTTACAAGCTTTTCCAGCTCCCCCAAGGACTCGGGTAGCGACCCCACAGAAAAGCACTGCACCAGACGCAGCACCCGGAGATCGCTCAAGCTGCCCAGCGATTCGGGCAGCATTGAAATTTCATAGCAGCGCCTGAGATCAAGAAGCCTAAGGGAGTGAAGCTGGGAGAAGGTTAGGGGTAAGTTGGTTAGTCCACACTCCTCTGAATCTTCGGAAAACCCTCCTGAATCGAAAATGAACTCCTCTAAAGCTCGTAAACACCCAATGCTTTCAGGCAGCTCAGTGATCCTCGGGCAGCCGCGAATCTCTAGTTGATTAAGGCTTGATAGGTCGCCGAGGGATTCGGGCAGGTATGAAATTGTTCCGAGCCACGAAGTGCTGCCTGTCATGTCTAAAACTAACTCGGTCAGTTTGTTAAGGTGCCCGATGGTTTCGGGCAGCTGCTGTAACGAGCAACAGCAGCGGATGTGCAACAGCTCGAGAGCTGATAGTCTGCCCAGAGATTCGGGCAGCCTACGAATGCAGTCAAGGCTAATCAGCCGAAGCTCCTGGAGGTTTGATAGCTGCCCGATCTGTTCGGGCAGGGAAGCCAATTGCCAACAGCAGACTAAGGAGAGAGAGCGGAGATTAATCAAAGCTCCTAGAGAGCGAGGGAGGGAGATGAGACCTAGTTTGCATGCGCTGTTGTTGATAGTGAGAGAGGAGAGAGCGGAGAGGCAGGAGAGAGTGGGAGGGAGCGTGCGGGTGTAGCGACCGGTGCAGAGAGAAAGGGCTTGCAGATTGGTGCAGGAGAGGAAGAGAGAGTCGAGACTGGAGAGCGAACGGCACTTGGAGCGATCCTGGTTGGTGAGGGAAGGGGTAAGGGAAGGAAGGAGGGAGGAAGGAAGTTCATTATAAGAACAGCAATGACAGGGGCTGACACTGTCCCCATGTCTAAACACCACCACCCATCCCCACCACACATCCCCACCACACATCCCCACCACCCATCCCCACCACCCATCCCCACCACCCATCCCCACCACCCATCCCCACCACCCATTCCCACCACCCATCCCCACCACCCATCCCCACCACCCATTCCCCCCCCCCCCCCAAACACATTCCTCCAGCACCCAGCCCCCCCCAGCACACACCATGCCATTGGGCTGGCCATCCAGGGCCAGTTTCACCAACCTCTCCCCACACGCGGCCAGCGCCAACACCACATCATCCCCCTCCTCCTCCCCACCACTCATCCCCACCCCTCATCATCCCCACCACATCCCCCCAGCATCCATCCGCACCACTCACCATGCCATTGGGCTGGCCATCCAGGGCCAGTTTCACCAGCCTCTCTCCACACGCCGCCAGCGCCAACACAACATCATCGCCCTCCTCCTCCACCGCATCCCTCCCCAGCATCACACCCACCAACCCCGGATACCTCCCCGGGTCAGCCAAACACGGCAGCAGATCGCTCTTATTAATGCGGGCCCCAGGGGGGAGCGCGAGGAGGGAGAGGGAGGAGCGGGTGAGGCGGGCCAGGCGGCGGTTGGTCAGGAGGCACGCGGAGATGTCGCTAGGGTGGGAGATGCGGGCGAGGATGAGAGCGAGGAGGGGATCTGGGAGGTCTGTGAGGTGCGTCTGGGGGGGGAGTGTGGGCGAGTGGGAGGTGGCGGCGTGGTGGTGGTGCGACTGGAAGGGTGGTCCGCCCGTGCTGCTGCCATTGTCCTCCTCATGCCATTCTCTATCTCCCTTGGAAAAACGATTCTGCAGATAGTCCTTCTGAGAAGCCTCAAACGTGCCGTGCAGGTGCACCTCGCTAGAGGAGGATCTCTCAGCTGCCCTCCACTTGAGAGCTAACAGCACTGGAGGCTCCTCCTCCTCCTCTTCATCCTCATCTTCCTCCTCCGCGTTCTCCTCTCCCTGCTCTCCCTCCTCTGTCTCTGTCGCCCCCCCTGTGCGACGGTAAGGCAGCATCCACCACTCGCACTCACCCCACACGTTTCGACCTGCAGGCAGCAGGCACATGCAGGAGGGAGGGGAGGCCGCACAAGGAGTGGGTGAGCAGAGGAGACAAGGGGAGTAGGTGACCGGAAGCGACAAGGATGGGAGTGAAGGGAAGGGACAGTGAGAGACACGGCGTGTGGGAATGTGTGGGGGGGTGAGCGCTTTGGGTGTTTGGTTACATGAGAGAAAAAGTACTACTGGTGCTTCGGGTCATGTGAGCAGGAAAATAACATGAGTTGATGGAAGTAAGGCCTTTGCAACCCACCGGTCCGCTTTTGACTGCTTCGGGTCATGTGAGCAGGAAAATAATTGGACTTCTTAGCTTGCTATCATAAATAAAGCAGCAACATGAGAAGGTGATGGGAATCTTGAGAAGTTTAGACGAGGAGAGAGAGGCAAGGGGAAAACGGGGAGAGAGGGGGCAAACAGAGCTACGAAGAGCCAGGGAGAGAGAGCTAGGGAAAGATAGGGAGAGCTAAGAGGACAAGACCGTTTGTACGAGGGCGCTTGAGCAGGGAGGCAACCTGCAGCAGGCCAGCCAGAATGCATCCCCGCCGCTGCTGTCACCGCCGCCACTTCCGCCGCCGCTGCCTCCGCTGCTTCTGCAGTCGCCGCAGCCGCAGCGGCAGCGGCAGCAGCCGCGGTGGGAGTGTGGTGGGTGAGTCTGAGCGGCAGGAGGAGGAGAGGGTGTGGCTCAGCAGGGCGGAGGCTCTGCAACGCTTCTAGAGGCACATCATAGTCGTCCTCTTCTTCCTCTGCCCAACCCATCCCCGGCATCTCTGCCTCTTCACTCTCACTCCCCATTCGTAGGCTCCAGCTGCCGTGGCTCCCCAGGTGGCCTTCAGGTGTGCTTTCAGGGGTCCTGTCAGGTGTGCCGTCAGGTGATGTCTCAGGTGATGTGTGGGAGAAGGTGTCAAGTGATGTGTCGGATGGTCTTCCAGATGGTGCAGAGGTCCCCTTGGGTGGGGCGGTCAAAGCGGTGCTTGCATTTGCCTCCCTCCCTGCAACTTCCCCTCCACATCTGTAAAACTCATCTCCAGCTTCTATTCTTGCGTTGAAGTCGCTGCCGCTCTTGCAGCTGCTGCTGCTTGGCTTCGCTCTACTCCTTCCTCCTGCAGCTGCCGCTCTTGCAGCTGCTGTTCCTTCCTCGCCATCCTCCTCCTCCTCCCTCCCATCCACCATCCCTGGCATCATACCATCATCAGACTCACTCCCAATGTCTTCCTCCCTCTCCTCCTCGCCTCCCCTTGTCTCCTCACCTTGCCTTCCTCCCTCCACACCCCTCTCCGCCTCCTCCTTCCCAACCCCCGCCCCTCTCTCTTGTTCCAGTTTCATCAGCATCTCTCCCAACCTCTCCACCTCGTCTTCCTCCTCCTCCTCCTCCTCCTCCTCCTCCTCTCCCTCCTCCCCACCCTCCTCCCCATCACTCCCACTCCCATCACTCCCTCCTCCCCACTTCCCCTTCCCTTCACCCGCCCCCCTCCCTCCCAGCCTCCACTTTTGCCCCTTCAAAGCAGCACTGAGGCTATCCAAGCGCACCTCTCTCAACCTAGCCGCATCTGGGCCGGGTCTCAGCCCCAGCTGCCACAGCCCCTGCTTAGACCAGGGTTGCGCTGGGCAGGGGGGAGGGGGAGGGGTGGTGGCGCAGGGGGAAAGCGGCGGAAGGGGATGGGGGGGAGCAAGGAGCGCGGGCGGGCGATGGGTGGAGAGTTGAGGCGGGATGGGGCTGGAAGAGGAATGGGGGGAGCGATCGGGGGAGGCCAAAGAGGGAGGGAAGGAGAGGGGTATGATACGAGGGGAGTTTGGCTCGCTTGTGACTTCATGGCCTTTTAGTTGCTCGCCTTCCTCCTTTCCTTCCTCTTCCCTGTCATTTTCGTCTTCCGCCTTCCCTTTTCCTACCGAATCGTTACCCACCGTTGCTAAACCATCCCCATTGGTCGTGTACCTAGCTATCTGCTTCCATCCCACATCCTTCGCCTTCCCTTCCTCCCCCTCCTCCTCTTCCTCCTCCTTCCCGTCCCCTCTCTCCTCTACTCTCACCCCATCCCGCCACACCAGTCGGGCCCCACTCCTCTCATCACCCTTAATCATCTCCGCCCCTACACCCGCTACCATCAACCTACTAGTACCAGTGCACCCACCATCACCCTCCTCAGTCCCCTCACTCCTCCCACTCCCCTTACTCCTCCCACTCCCCTCTCTCTCTACTTCCAGAGATTCCCCCTCTGTGGTTTCTGTCCCACTGCTGCTGCTGCCGCAGCTGCTGCTTTCGTCGTCCCCTGCGCCCTCCCCCAGGTGCGAGTACCATGCCAGCAGGTTGGTCACTATTCTCTCCGGAGCCTCGATGCTGCGAGGAGGGGAGAGGGTTGGGGGAGTGGAGGAAGCAGAGGAAAGGGAACAGGGGGAAACAGGTTGGTGGGTATTCGTTTCGGAACCTCAATGCTGCGAACAGGGGGGAATGGATCAGGGCGGGATGGAGGAAGCAGGGGAAGGGGAACGCGGAAAGTGAGAAGGATAATCAAGGAGAAGGGGAAATAAGGGGCAAAGGGGAAGAGGGAACAAGTGGCGAGGAGCAAGGGGCACGAGATATCAAGTAAGGAGCAATAAGCAAGGGGCTATAGGCAAGGGATAAGGGATAAGTGGCAAGTGGCAAGTGGCAAGTGGCAAGCGGCAAGTGGCAAGTGGCAAGTGGCAAGTGGAAATGGATAGGGGTAAGAGGCAAGAGCGCTTGAGTGATGATTGGGAGGATGGGTAAAGTGAAAGGGTGGTGATGAGAGTGCATGAGAGAGCATGGCAGTGCATGGAATCACTTACTCTCTCTCCGCTGCCTGTGTCACCACATCTTCCAATAGCTTCAGCTCCTGCTCTCCACACACATGCACGCACACACACAGAAAGACACACACACACACACACACACACACACACACACACACACACACACACACACACACACACACACACACCCACGCCCCAATCCCCCCCTCCCCACCTCACACACGCACACACACATGCACCCACGCCCCCATTCCCCTCACACATGCACGCACGCACCCCGAAGCACACAGATGTAACAACACTCGGAGTGAGGATCCGAACCAGCAGCATCATCCACATGGAGTCCTTCAAAACATTACAAACGCCGTACCTCGTTCCTCAGCCTTGTTTTTGAGTCGACTCAAAAACAGCAGCAGCAACCACGCGGAGTCCTTCAAAACAATCGCCATAACCCGTTCCTCACACTTGCCCACTCACAAACCACTTGCTCCCATGCCTGCCCCTCTCACCTCCTCCCTTTCTGTCTTGCCCCTGCTAGTCTCGCCCCTTCTCTCGTCCGCTTCAGCCCATTACTTACATTACATTTCCTTCCCACCCCCCAACCCCCTTCCTGCCTCCCCACCTTTCCCTTCCCCTTTCCCCTTTCCCCCTTCCCCCTTCCCGCACTTCCCCTGTCCCACTCATCCCCTCTCCCGCTTACCACAGTCTCTTCTGAGGACTCCTCCTCTGTGAGCGCACGTGCCTCAAACCTTAAAACCCCCCCCTCCCAAAGTTACTTTTGAGTCGACTCAAAAGTCTCCACCCCTCCCGCTTACCACAGTCTCTTCTGACGACTCCTCCTCTGTGAGTGCGGGGCGCGAGCGGAAGAAGAAAAAGAAACTCTCCTCCTCCTCCACTTGCTGCTGCTGCTGCTGCTGCCCGAGCACTGCCCCTCTTCCTTCACCTCTCCCCTCTCCCTCGTTGCCGATACCTCCTCCTATCCCACTTGCGTCTGCAACAGCAGCAGCACCAGTGGCAGTAGAATCAGTGGCGTTTGCTGCTGCAGCCGTTGCTGCTACCGGTTTGAACCAACCAAACCATCCGCCAGAACTAGCAGGCGCGGCAGCAGCAGCAGGTTCTGTCGCAGCAGGAGTGGTAGAAGCGGCAGTGGATGGAGCGGTGGCGGTGGCAGTGGTGGTGGTCGAGGAGGAGAGAGAAGGGGAGGAGGAGGAGGAGATGGAGCGAGAGGAGGGGAGGGGAAGTCTCTTGGTGACGTCTTTTCCTGGAAGCCAATGAATGGTGGAGCTGAGAAAGGGTTCGAAGGGGGGAGGGAGGGGAAGCACATGGGGGGGAGAGGAGAGAGGGGGGGGGGGGGGGGGGAGGGGGGTTAGGTGGGTTGGGGTTAGTACAGATTGGAAACATGGAAGGGGATTTTGGAGAGCCTCAGAAGATAGAAGGGGTGGAAAGGGAGAGCGAGGGGAAGAATGGGAAGGAAGGCGAGGGTCAAATGGAGGGAGAGGAGTGTGGAAGGGGGAAAGTTGGGAGATTGGTGAGAGGAGAAAGGAGAGTGGGTGAGGAAGTGGGTGGGTGATAGAGCATCAACAGATCGAAGAGGCAATAACGTGATAACAAACTGGAAAAAAAAAAAGGCAGGTGGAGAATAAGGTGTGGGAGTGAGAGCGGGGTTGGGAGCGGGGTTGGGAGCGGGAGGGGGAGCGGGAGGGGGAGCGGGAGCGGGAGTGGGAGTGGGAGTGGGAGTGGGTGGAGAGCAATGGTCCAGTCGGCGGGTGACTGACCCTTGGATGCTGGAGAAGAGTGGGTCACCGTAGCGAATCCTGTCCTTCACTATGTACGACTTGGTCAGCTGCACACACGCATGCATACATGCACGTGCACACATTCCCAAACACACATGCACACGAACAACAAACACACATGCACGTATGCACACGCAGAAATGCAAAGGCAGGAGAAGCGGGTGGATGGGCGTGTGACTCGTCAATCATAGAAACAGTCAGAGAGCATGCAAACGAAACCTAAGCCTTGAGATGCCTCAAGGTTCAATGTGTTACATATCATATCACAAATCACGAAATTACCAGGCACCTAAAAGGCAGTGTCTACCAAGGGGTTGCATATCAGTGCAACAGAGGGGCTGATTTTTGAGTCGACTCAAAAATCAACTCGAGGGGCAGTGGCCGAGCCTCACCCTGATGTTGCCAAAGAAGGGGTTGGCGCGGAATAGAAACTCCACTCGTGCTCCCTGTCGTGGTGTCATGGCGTGGATGGGGGAAGCCCAGGAGGCGAAGACAGAGGAGCTCAGACGGAGATCCAAGTGAGTGGGTGAGAGTTGATTCGTAGGTGAGCTAATGAGTTCATGCGTAGATATGAGCTTTCAATGAGACCTTTCATGTGTATGATTTTATGGGATGGGAGGCGTGGAACGGCACAGAAGGGAACCACGGAGGTAATGGCACAGGACGGTGCAGGACGGTGCAGGTGTGCACAGCACAGCACAGGACGGCACCGTGTGCACAGCACAGCACACAGTGTTCTTGAGACTTTTCAAAGGAGTAGACGTTAAGAATGCGAATGCAAGGGTGGTAGGCTGACCTTGGCGCTGTTGGGGCAGTCGAGAATGCGAATGTCCTGAATGAACTGCAGCGGCCCCTCGTCTCGTGCCGTGATCTGTGGAGCGGGGGACGGGAAGAGACGGGAGAGAGAGATGGAAGAGACGGGGAGGAAAACGGAAGAAAGGGAAGGGATTGGAAGCGGAAGAAAGGGGAAGAGGGGGTGTGTGTGAGATGGCACACATGCCTGCTTTGAGTGGGTGAGCCACTATGGACGTGCACTAGCGCAGCCCACACATGCAAGTAGGAAGCATGTGTGCAAGTGTGCTCGATTCTGCCAGATAAGACTTAGAGTTGGCCTATAAGCCGAGTTGACTTTTGAGTCGACTCAAAAGCCAGCTAGATTCTGCCAGATGGGACTTAGAGTTGGTTTCTGAGCTGTATCAAGAGCTGACTTTGCAACGCCACACAAATCATTTCAAAGCCCCCAGATTCAGCCCATCTTGGGCTCGACGAGTGGGTGAGACTTGAAGATAATTGGCGTTCACGAGACTCGACCCACCTTAGTCCCGTTGAGTGGGTGCGACTTGAGACAGTTGAACCAGTGCGGAGGGTTCACCACCGGCGGTGCTGCTCGGCTTTTGAGTCGACTCAAAAGCCACCTCGTCTCAGAAGACTTCTCAATTTCTGCTAGATTGTACCCACCTTGGGCCCGATCAGTGGGTGCGACTTGAGGCAGTCGAGCCAGCGCCGCGGGTTGACCGGTGGAGCTGTTCGGCTGGGCGAGAGCGAGCGAGGGGTGGCGGAGGGCGAGGAGGAGAAGAAGCTGAGTGCGCTCCCTGCTGCGCCCGATGATGACCTTCCAGATGCCATTGCAGATGTCATTGCCACTGACGGGCTGTTGCCTTCACTGCGACTCCTTGCACTGGACGCAGCAGTAGCAGCGGCAGCAGCAGCAGCAGCAGCAATGGAGCTGCCAGTACGAGCAGCAGCAGCATTGACAGCAGCAGAGGCCGCGGTGGTGATGCGGGGTAGGCGTGGTAGGGAGAGCTGCGAGTGCAGGGACGAGAGAGGAAGCGAGCCAAAGGAGGAGGAGGAAGTCAATGGGGGCTTGGAAAGACCATCAGCAGCACCAGCACCAGCAGCGGCAGCGGCGGCAGCGGCAGCGGCGTTGACGGTGGTGGCGGCAGAAGAGAGAGAGGGGGAGAAGGAGGCGGAGGCGATGGGGGGTGCTGGGAGTGGCGGGCGTGCGAGGCGAGCGGACGAGGCAGAGGAGAGGGAACCCCCCCTGCCCTCCTCTCCCTCCCCTGCCCCGCTCATTCCCCCTCTCGGACTCAATATCCTGCCTGACCTGGGACTAACCAGAGACCCACCAGCCCCTCCCCCTGCCCCGCCTGCCCCTCCTGCTCCTCCTGCCCCTCCTGCTGTCCCCGCTTCACGAGACCTGGGACTGGGAATGCTTGCTCTGGGGCTGGGAATGCCTGCCCGGGCGCCAATGCTTCTGCTGCGCCACGGCTTCATCCGCCCTCCCTGGGACCCCACTGGGGATACCTCCACTGATGTGCCTTGCTGGGACGGCGAGGGTAGTTCCACTGACACTCCCTGCTGGGACGGTGAGGGCAGGTCTAGAGATGCTGCGTGTTGGGAGGGCGAGGGTGAGGGCAGGTCGGAGGTTAGGTCCACTGAAGCAGCTTGTTGGGATGGGGAGGGCAGGTCTATAGATGCCGCTTGTTGGGAGGGCGAGGTTGGGTGCTGGTAGTGATGGTGCGCAGGTGACAGCCGCTCCGGGAGTGAGGTCACTGCTGCTGTGTTCCTCATGGTTCCTGCTTTCCCTGCTCGTGTCTCCTCTCTCTCCCCTTCTCCCTCCGCTGCCCTCTCCTCTGCTCTCTCCTCTGCCCTTGCATCTGCTCGTGTGTCCGCAGCTACCCTCGTGGTAACTCCTCCTTCCCCTGCACGCCATTCGAGTTTCTGCCCGCCACGAGTAGCACTGGCGAGTGGTTGCTGGGTAGCACCAGTGGTTGCTGTGGCGCACACGCTCTCACCCTCACACCGCTCGTCCAAGGACGAGGCGGGGGAAAAGACGAGCGCACGGCCAGGGGGAGGAGGAAGAGGAGGCGATTCTAGAGGCGCCTTTATAGTATGGTCTTCTTCAGCCCGCTCGCCCAAGGGTGTGACGGGGGAGAAGGCAAGCACACGGCCAGGGGGAGGCGGCAAAAGAGGCGATCTCTGAGGCGCCTCCGAAATAGCGCCCTCAGGGTGCTCGTCCAAGGGCGAGGCGGGGGAGAAGGCGAGAACACGGCCAGGCGGAGGGAGCAGAGGAGGCGCGTTTGACTTTTGAGTCGACTCAGGCTGCTCCTCCAAGGGCGAGGCGGGGGAGAAGACGAGCGCACGGCCAGGCGGCGGGGGGAGAGGAGGCGTGTGGGGCGCCATTGATGATGCTGACGAGGAGGAAGCGGAGGAGGAGGAGGAGGAGGATGGGACAGTGGGGGGAGAGGGTGTGGAGAGGGAGGGGGTGAATGAGGAGAGAGGGGAAGGGGAGGCGGTGGAAGAGGGGATTGGGGACGGAGAGGCGGTGGAGGGGGAGAAGAAGATGCGTTTGTCCTGTATGTGAGGGGTGCACGGGGCATGTGCGCCTGTGGATGGGTCAGGTGAGGAAAATCCAGCTTCAGCAGCCGGTGGTGGTACCACTCCTTCTGCTGCTGCTGCTGCTGCTGCTGCTGCTGCTGCTGCTGCTGCTGCTGCTGCTGCTGCCTTAGCTCGTTCGCCTGACTTGGATTCTGAGCCTTCCGTGCTCTCATCCTCCGTCTTCCCTCCGTCATCCTTCTCAAAACGGCCATCCCTAGCCATATCCCCATCCCCACCCTCATCTCTATCCACACCAGCATCCCTATCCCCATCGCCAGACTCCACATCATCCTTCTCCCCCGTCTCCTCGCCCTCCTTCACGCTCCCTCCCATCAGCCATCCTCTCCTTTCCGAGGGCAGGAAAAAGCCCTTGCCGGAGCCAAACGGCTTGTCAAGCTGGCGAGACTGGTGAGAGTGGAGAGAATGATGAGGGTGGGATGACGCATCACCTGATCCTATCTTCTCAGAAGGCAACAAGAATTTGCCTGAGCCAAATGGGTCCATATCACTCCCACCACTACGGTACCTTAGCAAGCCCCCGCTCCCCTTCTCCCACCACCGATTCCCCTCATCCTCTTCCTCCTCCTCTTGCTCCTGCGCCATCTCCTCCTGTGCTCGTATCATTGGTATCTGCTCTCTACTGTCCCCACCATTCATTCTGTAGTCTTCTTTACACTCTGTTGCCGTTATAGGGCTGCCAGAAGCAGTGGAGGAAGTGGCAGTGGGAATGGCAGTAACGGCTGCAGTGGCAGAGGCAGTGGCAGCGGTGGTGGCAGTGTCGGCAGAAGGGTGAGCTTTGTCTGCTTTGTTGCTGGCGGTGCCAAAGAGAGAGAAAGGGGAGAGCAGCGGAGAGAACGGGGTGCTTGCAGCAGGCGCAGACTCAGTGGAGGGAGGCGAGAGTGGTGTTGGCACTGTCACTGCTGTTATTGCAGCACCTGCTGCTCCTGGTGGTGGTGGTAACGCTGCTGCTGCTGCCGCTGCTCCTCCCGGTGGTGGCGGTAATGCTGCTGCTGGTGCTGCGGACCGGGTTTGTACGACAGAAGGAGGCGAGGAGGATGAGGACGAAGGGGAGAAGAAGGAATTGAAGGAAGGCAACACAGGAGGAGGCGCCACAGGCGACGATGCTGCTGCTGCTGCTGATGATGATGATGATGATGATGATTCAGCACCAGAGGAGCACACAACCTCTCTTCCATCCTCCCCACCTTTCACATACCCCTCAACACTCACCGCCTCCTTCCGCTCCTCGTTCGTCTCCTCCCTCCCTCGCGCCTCCCACAACCCCACCACCACCTCTCTCTCCTCACCTTTCTCCTCTTCCTCCACCATCACCACCTCCTTCACCACCACCACCTCCCCTTCATCCTCCTCCCGCCCCTCCTCCCCCACTCCCTTCTCCTCAACACCTTTCTCCTCCTCCCCTGCCTCCCGCCTCTCCTCACCCCCCTCTTCTTCCTCTGTCTCCTCTTCGGCATCCTGCACACCCTGCGACTCACCAAGTGCTCGTTTCAGCAGTCCACGGCGCAGCCACTCAGCAGCCATTTCATCATGAATGTCCCTCAACACCTCCCAATGAGGCTCCTCCACCTCTTCCTCTTCCTCCTCCTCCTCTTCATCCCCTTGCTCCGCTCTAGCCCTGCTCTGATTCCAGAACCGGGAGTAATCCGGACCTCCTCCTCCCCCTGCTTCCATCCTTTCCTTCTTAATTCGAGACGGTTCAAAACTCGGAGCTCCTGCTTCCTCTCTCTCCTTCTCCCCTCCCTTCCCCTCCGCTTCACTCCCCCATCCTCGCTCCCCTCTCCCCCCCTCGTCCCTCTCTGCTTCCTGCTCGTGTGCTGCTGCCACTGCCCCTGTCACGCCCACCACCCCCCCTCGTGCCACACTCTCATCACGCCCCTCCGTCTCCTCCCCTCCTCTCCCCTCGCCACTCTCCCCATCTCCCTCTAAAATTTCCACCTCTTTACACCCGGAACCAGACTGCTGCAACAGCCGCATGCCCCACCCGAATGAGCCCCCACTGCTGCTCCTCATCCCATCAGCTTCATCCCCATTCGCGCCAACCCCATGCGCCTCATTTTCAAAAGCCCGGCCCACCACTCCTGTTCCCCCCACGCTCCCCGTACTGTCCCCCACGTCCCCCACGTCCCCCTCCTCACTGCTGCGAATCAGCGCCTTGAGCCTTTGCCGCTCCTCCTCCTGGTTCCTCCGTGTTCCCACTCTCGCCTTCCCTTGCCCCTCCTCCTCCCTCCTTCCCTCCTCCCGTCCCGCTGCCCCTTTCTCCGCCCCACCCTCCACTTCACCCACAGCAGCAGCAGCATCAAGATCAGCAGCAGGGGTAGCAGCAGCAACAGCAGCAGCAGCAGGAGCAGCAGCAGCAGCAGCAGCAGGAGCAGCAGCAGCAGTGGTACGAGACCAAGCCTTCCTGCCCTTACCCCCTCCCGCCATAGCTGCTAGGGCCGCTGCTGCCACCCCCACTCTAGCCCTCCCACCCCTTCCCGCCCCTGCTGCCCCTTCCCCTACCCCTACCCCTGCTCCTGCCCCTGCCCCGTATTGAGCAGCATAACGAGAGGTATAGGTGGGCTGCAAGGAGGTATAGGGCGGTTGAAGGGATGCCGAAGCAGCAGCAGCAGGTAGCGCCAGGGATGATGGCTCTTCCAGGTACAGAGGTGTGGAGAACGGTTCGGGGTGGTGGGAGTCGAGAGGGAGCGCGGAGGGAGAGGAGGAAGCAGGGTGAAGCGCGGATGGGGGAGGAGGAGGAGAAGCAGCATGGGAGTCAGAGGGAGATGATAGAGATAGGGTAGGTTCTCTTGTTGATAGCGCCGGCAGAGCAGGCAGGGCGGGCAGGGCGGGCAGGGCGGGCAGGGGAACAGCGGACGAAGGTAGGTCAAGCGGGAACGAAGCAGCGTGTTCAGGGGAGGTGTCAGGTGCGGGGAGGGGGGCGCGGGGGGAGAGCGGGGAGAGAGGGGGGGAAGGGCGCGCGGACAAGGAGGCGGGGGAACGGGGGGAGCGGAGGGAGGCGATGCGGGGGGAGCGGGAGGAAGGGGTGCCGGGGGGCTTGACAGGGGACAGGGGCTTGTTGAGCATGGTTATGGCAGCAGTCAGCACCGCAGAGCTGGCAGCAGCAGGAGGCGTGTGATTGTCATAGTCATAGCGCTTGTCATCATGCCTGCCATCATACTCACCATACTCACCATGCTCAACATGCTCATTCTGCCCATCACCATAACCACCACCATCGCCATTCCCACCACCATCACCATTCCCATCAGCACTACCAGCAGCATCCTCAGGTGCACGATTATGCATCTGGGTAGCATGGGAAGCATCATCACCCCCGCCCCCCACACTCGCGTTGCCCTTGCGCCTCAGCGCATCCACATTGATTCTGAACCGCGAGCGCGCAGAAACTACTGCCACTCCGCCCTCTCCCCTCCTGCCCTTTCCCCCTTCCCTTCCCCCGCCCTCTCCCCCTCCCGCTCCCTCCCCCTCTCCGTTCCCTTCCCCCTCTCCATCCCTCTCTCCTACTCCACCTCTTCCCTTTCTTCTCACGCTCGTCCCTCTTCCCCAGTCCCTCCCTTCACCACTTTCCACTGCCGCTTCACCCTCTCTCTCATCCCACTCCCCGTCTTCCCCACCCCTGTTGCTCCCACTCTCACTCCCACTCTTCACCACACTCGCCCTCTCCTTCCCACTCCCTCTCTCACTCTCGCTCACAGTACTGCAGTAATCAACGTCCTTCTCCCCCCCATAGCTGTTCCGCAACCGCCTCAAAAACAAACTCTCCCCAACCACCCCTGCCCCAATCTGCGCATGCGCACCTCTCCCTCCTCCAAACGCCCCTCCCAAACCCACACCCAAATCTCCCACTCTCGCTCCAAACACCTCTCCCTCTCCCTCATCCTTTCTCCCAACCGCACCCGTCTCCCACCAGAACCGCTTTTCACTCCCCGCCACCGCTCCATTTTCCCCACTCTCTCCACCCCCCCCACCGGTTCCCCCATGCCCCGCATCCTCTGTGCGCCAGTTGTAGCTTCCCCCCGGCCCTGCATCACCTCGGCTGCTCTCACTGCCATACACCCGGCTCAGGAAGCGGCTATGGTCCAACCCAAGCGCAAACGAGTTTCGCTGCTGCTGCTGCTGCTGACGGCTCTCTGTGCTCTTGTTGCTGCCGCCGCTTGGGGGAAAGTCTGCCGCTGCTGCTGCAGCTGCTGCTGCGGTGGCATCAGAGCCTGCATCAGCATCAGTGTCACCGCCGCTTCTTGCATGCTCGCTCCTGCTGCCAGCACCACTACCGCCCCCACTGGCAGCAGCACCGCTGCTACGCTTGCTCATTGCGCCGTTCTGCCTGCCTGCCTTCTCCTTCCCTCCCTCCATCCCCTCCTCCCCCTCCCCTTTCTCACTCTCACTCCCCATGTCCCCATCTCTAGACATATTCCGCCACCACCGCGCATCACTCCCCCCGCTCCCCCTACTCCCCCCCCTCCTCCTCCCCCCCAACCTCACACCAGCTCCTGTCACCCCCTCCTCCCCTTCCTCGTCCCCACTGCTCCCTCCCCCACCCCAACCAACACTACCATCAGCAGCAGCACCGTCACCAGTACTACCTACCCCAGCACCGCCTCTCCCATACCTACTGCCCCCCCCTCGTCTCTGCGCCCCCCTACCCTCCCCCACCGTATCCTCATCGTCCCCCTCTTCCCCTCTCTTCCATCCCGCGTTCCCCTCCCCCCACCCCTCCGCGTTCCCCCTGCTTCTGCTGCGCCTGCCGCCAGGCGTGGTGGGCCCGCGGGACCGTGGCGTGCGCGCATTACGCGCGTGGCTGTGCGCGTGCGCAAGGCTACGGGGGGTGCGGGGCGTTCTGGGTGTGTGCGGCGTGCGCGGAGTGCGCGGAGTCCGGGGAGTGCGCGCAGTGCGGGGAGTGCGCGCGCGCATTTGCCCCTCCGAGGTCTCATCCCCTTCCCCCGCAGTTGATTCCGCACCTCTTTTCGACGCCCTTCCCCCCATCTTTCTCTTCCCCCCTTCCGCGTCCGTCCCTTCCGCCTGCGCCTTCCCCTCTTTCTCCCCCTCGCGTTCGCTCTCCCCCGCGCCCTCTCCCCGCCTGGAGCCGCCAAGGCGGAACGAGCTGCGCCCGCTCCGCTTGCGCCACGCTGCAGCCGCCGCGGCTGCTGCGCCCGCCGCACCCTTCTGGCGCGAGCGGCCGGTGCCTGTGCTAGCATCGGAGCCTGCATAAAGCGGAGGGCGCACGGGCACGGGGGAAGGGCGCGAGCGGAAAGAGCGCAAGGGAAGAGCGCGGGGGAAGAGAGCGCACGGAAAGAGCGCGGGGGAAGGGGGGAGAAGAGTTGGCAGGGAAGACGGGAATGGGAGAGAGAGCCGACTGAGCTTTTGCAGGGAGAGGTAGGGACAGGCACATGTAAGGTCTAAGATATCAAGCCGTAAACATGATTCGCCCCTTGCATGCATAACTCACACGCGACGCATTCATCATGGCTGGCACTGCCGCCCGACAAATACAGCGCCTCGTTCTTTGTTGCTCCCCCCTCCCACTTCACATCAGCCTCACCTGAAGCCGTCGGAGACGGCGGCGACGGCCGCTCGTTACTGTCACGCGCGTCCCGTCCCCCCGTCTCCTTCCCGCGCTCCGCCCTCAGCACCGACGACGACTCGCGCGACGGGTCCACGTCATCGCCGTAGTCGCCCCACGGCAATCTCGAGGGCGGCGCGCGGCCCCAATCCGCAACCGCGAGAACGTCAGCGTTAGCGTCAGCGGAAAGGCGACTCGGTTTGCTTCCCGCGCCGATACCACCATCCGCGCCGCCTACCTCCTCCGCATCCTCCTCCTCAGCCGACGGAAACCAACGGCCACCTTTTCCAGGTCCTCTCCGCTCCTGCTGCTGCTGCTTGCGCTTTTCGGGATCGCCGCCGGGATCGTCCAGCCAATCATCGTCGTCCATGGTGATTCCCGTCGTGTTAATTCCTGTGGCCGGCATGCATATGCAAGTCGGCATCGCGAACAGCCCTTTTCCGCGCTTCTTCTTCTTCTTCGCTGCTCGTGCGCGCTTCTCCCGCTCATTCTGCGGCGAAAGCGGGGAGCTGTTCCCGCTATTCCGATCCCTCGCCTTACCCTCCTTACCGCCCTGCTCTCCCGCGTGTATGGACCCCAATAGACTACCCAGCCGCTTCCCCCACGCGCCATTCCGTTTGGTCTGTCCGTCACCGTCAACGTCGACGTTTACGACGGGGCTGCCGATAGCTTCGAGCTCCGTCTCCGTTCTCGGAGGAACATTCGACGTGGTCTTGGGAACTGATGCGGGTTTACTAGACGCCTCGCCATCGTCTTGTAGCCTTCCTTTCCTCTTCCCCCATAGCATACTAGCCATACCATGAGGCCTTGAGCTGCCACCAAACGTAATCGACGTGGTCGGTAAGACAAGTACCTCACCTGCACTATCGACCTATTACTGCTATGCTATGTCCATGTTTGTGTAGTCTCCATTGGCTGAACAATCAGCGCGCTGCTGTGCTTTGTGCTTGGCATAGCAACGAGAATACGCACGGTCGTTTGTGTCTTGACGACGACCCAACCCAACTAGTCAACTTGACAGGAAAACGGCAGCGCAAGCGGTGACTGACGGTCCCTCTGACTGGAGAGGGAGGGAGGTTTCAGGTGCCTCCTCACCTGCCGCTCCCAACCATGCTGCATTCTGCGGGCGGAGGGTGGACGTGTGTTTGATACACTTGTGTGTAGGCTTGATGAATTTGTTCGGGCAGAAGTAAAGCTGAGAAGCAGTGTGGTGGTTGGCTAGGGCAGCGAAATGGGGGCTCGTTCGACGAATGGGGAATGAAACGGCAGACGAAGAGGCGCTTTTCATGAAGAAAAGCTTTCGAGTGTGGAAAAGCCCGGAGGATCAGTGGACGGACGAGCCGCGACAGAACGTGCCCTGTCCCTTCATTACAAGTCCATGTGATACTAACTCTATACGCTTTGGTCAAGATGCTAAGGGACACCTAACTTAGCTACAGTGAATATGCTAAGCAAGAGCAAACAAGGCAGAAGTGCAAACTCAAACATCGAGGATTATATTCAGTCATACTGCTCATTAATACACTCGTTCCATGTGTTCATTCACACGCACATTTTTAACAGCTCATATCGCGAACAGGATATTTGGTAGGTGGGGACCACGCTACTGTGTTTGCATGCTGACTTTGGAGTCTTGGGTACAGTTCATCCTCTATTCTTTGCGTAACGACCGATGCTTCTTTCGCCATGCACTCGTATCTCGCATGCTCCTCCTCGGAGAAACCATGCATGCTGAACCTGCTCGTGTAGAATCGAACCTTCTGGGGTTCTGCGAACTTGTGCGAAAGTGGCTTGGGTCTTGCATCCACAGCAGTTCAGCACAGAACAGGACTGCTGCATTTCAATGGCGGCTGTCGTCACGTTGCGCTCCGTCCGAACCAAAAGCCACTACCAAAGTTTGTTCTTGCAAGACCTCTCTGTGCCCCATCCCACACACCACACCACACCAGCCCTGTTAGGTTAGAATTTGATTTGACACACGGACCCGCGAGTTCAATCAGTGATGACCATTTTGATTACGCAATCTGGTAGTCGTCACGTGACCCTTGCACCGATCGACTTACGCTCGAAAATCCGTAACGTCCTTCACGCTCTGGAGGTTTTAGTGGCGTAAGTAAGCGAATAGTCGCGAAGCTGTTGGTGCGGTCTCGTTGGCCCTTGTATTTTTTCGGTTGCTCGATAGCTGGTTTGTACACCGTAGCAGCGAGCCGTTGACAATCGCACTCATTCCGAAGAATTTGCAAATTTGAGGTCGGGAGTTTTTTTTAAGTTTCCGCGCCATCGGCTTACTAACCTTTACATTTGACACCTCGATCCTTCCCTGCTCGCCGTTGGTCCATTTTCCTCCGTCGGGCGCCGTTTCTTCGCCATTACGCCAACCTTTCGCGAACATTTGTCTTCTCCCCGTCTCGTACCATCAGTGCGAAAAATCCACTGATAGTGATTTCTGGGGTTCTTTCTTCTTTTTTTCTTTTAACAAAGATCAGTAGCAGTGGGACGAACCCACGATCCCCTTTTCCATGGCGGGTCAACAAGGAGGCAGCGGCTTACCTCCGACCTCGCCTCTCACCATTCCCATTCCGACCACTCACCACGGCGGCTCTCCCTCCTTCACTAGCCCTTCCATCGACCCCAGCCTCGCGAATAATCATAATCTCTACCGCAGCGGGAACGCTTCCGGGGGCTCACCAGCCATGGCGGCTTCCCGCGCTCCTCCCGCTTCCGACGACGAGCAGTCGCTGCTAGCCGGAGCCAAGGAGATGGAGGCCGCGATATCTGCGTTATTGCACGACCCGGATTTAACTAAGCGTCAAGCCGCGAACGACTGGCTGAATACCTATTGCGGGCAGCCCGTGGTGTGGACCGTTGTCCTGTACTTAGCGTTCCCGCCGCCAGGAGCGGGCGTGGGCGGCGCGGCGGACGTTAGATTCTTCGCGCTGAACATCCTCCTAAATAAGATGCGGTCCGACTGGGGTCAGCTGTCGCCGGAAGATGCGGCGGAGATTTTCGAGACGCTGGTACGGCAACTGCCGGCCGCGCTGGCGCCGGGCATGGATCCCGTGGTGCGATCGCGGCTGTGCATCGTCATCGGCGCGGCTGCTGCTCTAGCCGGCCCCAACACGTGCTATGAGGTAGTTTCGAAATCTTCGGTTCCAAGTCTTGCTATGAGCTGGATGATTTTTTCTGGGGGGCCAAGAGGTTCTATGAGGTAGGTTAAATCTTGGTAGGGAACAATATTTTTCCTATCCCTGCTCCATACGCGTGAAGTCACCCCACCCCGACACCCACCACCCCCCTCGCCCTCCCCCCCCCACCCCTCTTCTGCCATCGCCCCCTCTCGTCACCCCTTCGTTTTCGTGGCTTGTCTCTGAGCTCCCCTCCCGTCCCTCCCTCTCTTCCCCCTGGTTCTCTCGTGTTGCTTTTCCCCGCGTCCCTCCCCCCCCACCCTCCCCCCTCGCCGCGCGCTCACCCTTCCCCCGGCCTGCGCGCGCGGCAGCTGATGGAGGCGGTGGAGAGGCAGGCGGAGTATGGGGTGGCGGTAGAGCTGCTCACAGCACTGGCGGAAGAGGCACTACTGCGCGCACGGGCGCACCCCAGAGAGGTAGGGGGTGTGGGGGGGGGGGAGTGAGGGCTGAGAGTGTTGACATGGGGGGCCATGGTGAGGGTGAGGGTGAGGGTGATGGTGATGGTGAGGGTGATGGTGGCTTATTGTGATGGTGATGTGATAGTGAAATTCGACAGCAAAAAAGGGGACCCAAAAAAAAAAAAAAAAAAAAAACACACACACTCACACACACACACACATAAATTCAATTATCAGGGGACAGGAGGGGATAAAATTGAATAGAGCGCATTTTTTTAGGCATTGATGGTGCTGTGACCATGGGCGCCTCACACTCTCCTCCTCCGCTCTGTGGATGGGAATGGAATGAGCACGGCAGGTGATGGAGTGTCTGCAGGACTGCTGTCCCAAGGTGATTCGACTGCTGGAGAGGGCGCTCACGTCCTCTGTAGCGGACACCCTGCCCCCCGACACCATCGCCAAGAGCCTCACCTGCCTCGCCCGATGGTGCGCATCCCAACGCTGCTGCTGCTGCTGCTGCTGCTGCTGCTGCTGCTGTCACTAATGCTGTCACATGTGCATGCAGGCCCGCACATGCAATTATGCACACACCTTCATGCATGCACTCACTTTTGCATGTACGCATGCTGCATTCACACATGGATAGAGTGGCATCAATGCACTGGCCAAAACATACTCGCACTCTCAAAGATACTCACCCTCTTGCTCCAACCCACCTTTCCCTGCTCACCTTCCACCCATCCCATTCCACATTGACCCATCCCACACCATTCCACCCCATCCCATCCCACCTTACTTCCAGTCCCGATCCCCCATAACCTCGCCCTCCCAGGAAGCAAGTGGGGCTGACACTATCAGAGCTGCACCGGGAGCACGCGCCCCTGCACCAGGCGCTGCTGCTGGCACTGGCGTTGATTTGAGAGTCCATCCAATCCCCCACCCTCTCCTTTCCACTCCCAATCCCCTCTCTCCTCGCCCTCCCAGGAAGCAAGCGGGGCTGACACTATCGGAGCTACACCGGGAGCACGCGCCCCTGCACCAGGCGCTGCTGCTGGCACTGGCATCGCAGCACAGTGCGGTGCAGGAGGCAGCAGTGGGAGTGCTATCGGAGCTGCTGCTGGAGGTGGATATACTCCCCGGCAGGGACGAGGCCGTTAAAGCCACCATCCAGGGTACGTTTTGATGCCACGGCATGCAGTGCAGTGCACAGACGGGCCGTGCGGCACAGTGCGGTGCAGGAGGCAGCAGTGAGCGTGCTGTCGGAACTGCTGCTGGAGGTGGATATACTGCCTGCCTGGCAGGGACGACGAGGCTGTCAAGGCCACCATCCAGGGTGAGGGAGGGGAGGAGGACGCGTTTCAGGTGAGGTATCTATCTTCCGCCCATGGCCACGATTCAGGGCAGTGGGAGTGCTATCAGAGCTGCTGCTGGAGGTGGATATACTGCCCGGCAGGGACGAGGCTGTTAAAGCCACGATTCAGGTTCAGGGTGAGGGGGAGAGGGAAGAGGGCGACAGGGAGGAAGGAGCATTTCAAGGTGAGGACAGGACGCCTTTCAGGTGAGGTGCGTTGAGGCACAGCTGCAATCCAGGCTATGTTTTGATGCCTCAGCAGGCAGTGCATAGACGGGCCCGGCAGGGACGAGGCTGTCAAGGCCACCATTCAGGGTGAGAGAGTGGAGGAGGAGAGAGCGGATTGAGAGAGAGATATTCAAGCATCCGTCTACCCCCTCCATGCCCTCTCTCCCCGTCCCCTGCCTCCTCACCAGGGCTTCTCGCTCTAAGGGGTGGCCCCCACGACAGCACAGACAGCCCGATAGTGCCGCTAGTAGCGGCAATCGGAACCTCAGAAGCAGGGCTGCTGTCAAGCGGAGGCGACATGGAGATGCGGCTCCTGCAGTGGCTCGTGCAGCTCACCACAGGAGGCACCACTGCTGCTGCGAAAGCTGCCGGGGGTGCTGCTGGTGGCGCGGCGGCGAAAGGAGGAGGAGGAGGAGGAGGAGGAGGAGCAGGTGAAGGGGGTGCGGGGGGAGCGGGGGAGGAGGAGGAGAGGGTGATGGATACGGCAGCGATGGCGGCTGAGGTGTGGCCCAAGGTGGCCAAGGTGCCCAGGAAGCGGAGAGCCCCGGCGCTGCAGTCCGGGGAGCTCTTTACTGCAGTGCTCCAGGTGAGCTTGCAATCCGTAGCAGCGGCAACGGCGTTTTGAGATGTCTCCAAAACTGAGGTGTGGCCCAAGGTGGCCAAGGTGCCCAGGAAGAGGAGAGCCCCGGCGCTGCAGTCCGGGGAGCTATTTCTGGTCGTGCTGCAGCTGAGCGTTTAGCCAAGCAGCAGCGGCTGCGGCAGCGGCAGCGTCTGCGGCAGCGGCAGCGGCAGCGGCAGCGGAAAGTTTCTCCACCCTCCCTGCATCCTGCTTCCCTTCCGTCGCCCTCCCACCCACCCACCCTTGCTGTGGGAAGACTCTGAGAAATTTCAGAAGGCCCAACCATTACTGTGCCCTCTCTGCCCTTCCGTCTTCCCTTATTTTCTGTCTCTGTGCTCCTTCTTTTGCATCGCCCTCCCGTCTCTCCCCACCTCTTTCCGTTTCACTGCCTGCAATACCCTGTCTCTCAACCCTGCCGCTCTGCCTCTCCCCTGTCTCGCCCTTTCCCCGCCACTTACCCTTGTCTGCCCGGCATGGCAGGCGGTGCTGTCAGCGAGCACGTACCCGCTCACGTCTCTGGACGACATCGGTGTTGATCCAGACGACTTCCTGCGGTGAGTGGCACTCCCACACTCCCACACTCCCTCACTCCCATACTCCCACACTCCCACTGCCACACTCTTTCACTCCCATACTCCCACACTCCCACTGCCACACTCTTTCACTCCCATACTCCCACACTCCCACTGCCACACTCTTTCACTCCCATACTCCCACACTCCCACTGCCACACTCTTTCACTCCCATACTCCCACACTCCCACTGCCACACTCCCACACTCCCTCACTTCCACACTCCCACACTCCCTCACTTCCACACTCCCACACTCCCTCACTTCCACACTCCCACACTCCCTCACTTCCACACTCCCACACTCCCTCACTCCCGCACTCCCTCACTTCCACACTCCCATACTCCCTCGCTTCCACACTCCCACACTCCCTCCCTTCCACACTCCCACACTCCCTCACTCCCACACTCCCTCACTCCCTCACTCCCACACTCCCACACTCTCTCACTCCCACACTCCCTCACTCCCTCACTCTTACATGGCATGTGATGATTTGAGTGAGCAGTAGACCTTTTTCACTACTTCCCTCGACTTTCAGATTAGTAGACTTAGTACTACAGATCGTTCTCTTAGCAGGCTTGCTTCGTTTCGAATCCAACAAACTTCAACTGTGACACAAGCTTTGTTCTTCTCGTTTACACCCATGTCTTCTCGCTGCCTGCCTCCCAGCAGAGGCATTGGCGAGCAATGCAATCAATCTCACAAGCAGCAGCAGCAGCAGCAGCAGCAGATGCTGCGGGCACTTCTCTGTTCCCTCTCTGTTCTCCTGGACCACGTCTCGCTGCTTCCTCTGCTCTACTCTCCCTCTTCCTCCTGCCACCCAGCTCTCCTTACCGCCTCCCCCCCCCCACACAATCCCCCACCCTCCCACGCCCCACAGGTATCGGGAAGGGCCGGCCAGCAGCAGAGGCGTTAGAGACGTGCTTTCTGGAACTGGGAGCCATGTTTCTAGACCATGTCTCCATGCTGCTGCGCTCCGCTGCTTCCTTTCAAGCAGCGGAGGCATGAGAGGCGTGCTATTAGAGCCGGGGACACTGCCTCTGGGCCATGGCTCACTGTTCCCTTGGCTTTGCTCTTCCCTCTCCTTGCCACCCAACCGTCTCCTCCTTTTCCCCCCCATCCTTGTGAGACAGGTACCGGGAAGGGCCAGCAGCAGAGGCGTTAGAGGCATGCTATCTAGAATTGGGAGCGGTCTTCCTAGACCACGTGTCCATGCTGCTGCGCTCCGCTGCTTCCTGGCAAGCAGCGGAGGTCGCACTCTTTGCTGCTGGCGCCGCCAGTGGCGCCATCTTGGATCGGGCTGGTGTGGGGAAGCAGGGAGCGGGAGGGGGAGGAGGGAGGGGAGGGGAGGAAGGGGTGTCGGAGAGTGAGACGAACGCCGCCCGTGTGTTTCTTTCGTCATTGTTTGCCTCTTTGCCAGGCTCGGCTGCTGTTATTGCCAAAGGTACATATGCAGTGAATTTTGTATGTGTGGTAATGCTGAACACGTGCTGGACACGTGCTTGCACATGACCCTTGTTGTTCTTCAGGCACCTTAGTACCTGCCCGTTTGAGCGGTCTTTTTTTCCTCCCTATACCCATCGCCCCTCCCCTCATTCCCCTCTCGTCCCGCTCGTCCCCGCCTTGCCTCTTTCCCCATCCCCTCGCCCTCGTCCCCCCTGCCCCTCACCAGACTCCGCCAACATACCCCCAGCAGCACTGGTGGCAACGGCAATGCACACAGTGGCGGCCTTTGCACCCTTCTGCGCCCACCACCCACCTGCCCTCGAGGCTGGGGTGCTCTACGCTGTCGCCGCCCTCCACATACCCAACGGTACACTCCCCGCTTGCCTTCTCCACCTAGCCTCAGTCATGCATGTTGTTAGGCACACCATCATGTTGTTAGGCACACTATCATGTTGTTAGGCACACTATCATGTTGTTAGGCACACTATCATGTTGTTAGGCACACTATCATGTTGTTAGGCACACTATCATGTTGTTAGGCACACTATCATGTTGTTAGGCACACTATCATGTTGTTAGGCACACTATCATGTTGTTAGGCACACTATCATGTTGTTAGGCACACTATCATGTTGTTAGGCACACTATCATGTTGGCATGGCAATCTGGCAGCATGGTGTCAGCACAGTGACTCATCTCATCTCATGTTCCCGCCTTTTCTGATCTCATCTCCCTCCCCTCTTCTGCTCTCCCAACCCTTCTTTCACACCCAACCCAATCAACCGCAGCCAGAGTTCTGTAAGTGACTCGAAAATCCTCTTGGGTGTGTCGTCTCGTGTCACCTCAAGCATTCTGACCCCTTCCACCCGCCCGCCCCTCATCCCCTCACCCCCTCACCCCCTCACCCCTTCTCCTCACCCATGTTAACCAGCCACGGGCAAGGCAGCAGCGGCGCTGCAAAGCCTGTGCGATGCAGCGGCGCCCAACCTAGCAGCAGCGCGTGTGCTGGCGCCGCTCATGCAGTCCTGCGAAGAGGCCCTCGCTGCCGCCGCTGCAGCACGGGTCTGCACAAGCACCTTCCTCCCTGCATCTCCTCACTCTCCCTCTCTGTCTTCCTCCTCTCTCCCCGATTCCCTCGCCCGCCTCCTGTGTTTCCCTTTTCCCCCGCTCACCCGACCCCTCCAGCCACGGGCAAGGCAGCAGCGGCGTTGCAGAGTCTCTGCGATGCAGCGGCGCCCAACCTAGCAGCAGCGCGTGTGCTGGCGCCGCTCATGCAGTCCTGCGAGGAGGCCCTCGCTGCCGCTGCAGCAGCGCGGGGCGGGGCGGGCATGGACGTGGGCGACAGAGTGGCAGTGGTGGCGGGGCTGGCGGCAGTGGCAGCGATGATGCCGCAACAGGAGGCGCAGCCTGCTTTGGCGAGGCTGGCTGCACCTGCGTTGAATACTGTGCAGCAGCTGGCGCCCATGCAGGTGAGTTGCCGCTGTGAGGAGGGTAGGGTGGGGGGGGGTTGGGGGCGGGGCGGGCATGGACGTGGGCGACAGAGTGGCAGTGGTGGCGGGATTGGCGGCTGTGGCAGCGATGATGCCGCAGGGGGAGGCGCAGCCTGCTTTGGCGAGGCTGGCTGCGCCGGCGCTGAACACGGTGCAGCAGCTCACACCCATGCAGGTGAGTTGGTTGTACGAGGAGGAGGAGGGGGAAGAGGTATTGGGGCGGGCATGGACGTGGGCGACAGAGTAGCAGTGGTGGCAGGGTTGGCAGCAATGATGCCACAAAGGGAGGCCCAGCCTGCTTTGGCCAGGCTGGCAGCCCCGGCGCTGAACACGGTACAGCAGCTGGCACGGCGCCCATGCAGGTGAGTTGGTGCTGCTACCGCTGGCAGGCATCGTGCACGCCTGCGTGAAGTCTTGAAGCCTTCATGCTGGGCTCAGCGTGCGCAAGCCAGGCTGACTTTTGAGTCGACTCACCTGTAGGCTCACAAAAGTCAGGCATGCTGGGCTGAGCCTGTGCAAGCCAGGTTGGCTGCGCCTGCACTGAATACCATGCAGCAGCAGTAGTCGGCGCCTATGCAGGTGTGGTTTGTGGTTGAAAACGCGATGGTGGATGCAAGAAATCTCTCCTTACAGGCATATCCTTACTCGAACGAAAGTGCCCCTCCCTGCAAACCTCTTGACGCACAATCCTCCCCATCCCTCCTCCTCCTCCCCGTCGCCCCTCTCTCCCCGTCCGTCCCTCTCTCTCCCTCTCCATCAGGACGCCTCGCCCTACTCGCAAGCACTCCTCTCAGCAGACCTGAGAGTGATCGCAGCCATTGTGTCCACCGTGGGGGACAAGCTCCATGCCGCTGCCCTCGCCAGCGAATCAAGTGCAGCAGCAGCCTCAGCAGCCGCCGCCGCCACTGGTGTGTCAAGTCCTGGGGGGTCACCAGCAGCAGCTGCAGGGGGAGGAGCAGCAACAGGAGGAGCAGGAGGGAGCGGGGGAGCAGAGGCGCTGCTGCTGCCGCTGCTGCAGGGCGCCTGGCCGTCATTTGACTTGGTGGCAGCGCGGTGGGCGGATGATGCAGTGGTGGGGGCCGCGCTGTGTGGGCTATGGGGGGCCACGGCGCGGGCTGTTGGAGGGCAGCTAGCACCGGTGCTGCCGCAGGTGATCGGCGCTGCTGGGGGGATGTTTCAGCGCCACCTGCATGCCGCATGCCTCAAGTGCCTCGCTGATGTGAGTGGGTGATTCTAAAGAGGGCTCAGAAGTAGCAGGTGATTGATCGGTGCTGCTGCAGGGATGTTTCAAGTTTCTGCGCCACCTGCATGTCGCATGCCTCAAGTGCCTCGCTGATGTGAGTGCGACACCCAGATCTTGTGCGTGTGTGGTGCGTGCATGCATGCACTCAGACCCCAAGATTCCCAAGTGCTTCTATCGTCTGTGCATTTCCCTCCCCCCAATCACCCCACCCCACAAAATTGTGACAAACAACTCCTCAGATCCCCTCCCAGAATACTCGAAGTGGGGTCCACTCCTCCTGAAAATGCACCCCGCTCTTCCCATCCTCCCGCATGTGTGGCTCATCAGATCATGTCCATGCCGCTGGTGGGAGCCCATGCCTCGAACATCCCCCAAAATGCCCATGCCTCGGTCCTCCACGCACTTTCCCCCCCCCCCCCCCCCACTCGTTCCCCCTTCCTCCTTTTTTCCCCGCCCTTTCTGCCCATGGTGGTCCCTGAGATAGAGTTGCTGCCCTGCCGCAAGTGGGAGCACGGGCATCACCCGAGGTGGCTCGGATTCAGCCACACCCCCGCCCCCTTAATTCCCCCTTGTTCCTCTGTCTCCCCCCTTCCCCTCCCCGCCTTAGATCGTGTTTATGCCGCGGGTGCGAGCACGGGCATCACCCGAGGTGCCCATGCGTCGGATCTCCACGCACCCTCCCACTCCCACTCATTCCCCCTTCTTCCACTTTCAACCCCCACCACCTCCCCCTCCCCACGGTATACCCATCAGATTGTGTCCATGCCACGGGTGGGAGCACGGGCATCACCCGAGGTGCAAGCCAGCCTGGCGGCCATTCCCGACAAGCTCGCTGCAGCTCTGACCGTTCTCCAAGAAACCATCACCCGCACAGATAAAGGCACCAAGTCCTTGCACAGACATTCCAGACCAGAAGGGCAGCAGGGGCAGGGGCAGGGGCAGCAAGGGCAAGGGCAAGGGCAGGGGCGGTTGTCCCAGCAGGAGCAGGAGCAGCATGCGCGTGCACTGGAGACGCTGCAGGCGTTGTGGGATGTGGCGCGGGCGTTTGTCGCGCATGCGCCCGAGCTGCTGCTGCCCTCCCCCACGTTCCTCGTGCTCTGCCAGAGCGCTGTCGGTGCGTGCTAGCTCGCACGCACGCGCACGCTTCCTTCTCGCTCCGCTGCTCGCGCCGCTTCCCCTCGCTCCACTCCACTCTCCTCTTGCTCATGCTTGCGCCGTTCTTGAGAACTCTCAGAATAAGTACATCCTTGCCTGCATTGGCCATCTCCGTCTTCTTGCTCTGCATTTACATGTTTGCTGTGCATTGGCCATCTCCGTCTTCCATCCTGCCTGCTGCCTCGCCCATCCATTCTCCCTCGTCCATGCAACCCTTTCTCTCTCAACCCTGGTTACGATCACTCTCGTGGGCAATGGACGTGGCATCAAGCTGCAGCACCGTAATTCTCATCTCCCTCCTCCCACCAACCGTACTCTACCCTCCTTATATTATTAGATCTTAACCCAAGCGAGGTTCTTTCCTTGATACTATACCAAGAGCCAGTTTTTTCAACTAACCCTTCCATATTACTGGCTAATTCCCCTCTTCTAACCCCCCTGCAGCATGCATATCGTGGGCGGATTCAGAGGCAGTGGAGGCAGCAGCAGCGTTCCTAGCGGAGACGATAGTGGGGCAGTCGCTGCTGCACGTGCGCCAGATGGCTCCTGAAGCGCTCGCCCTAGCTGCCACGCTGCCAGGCTCATGGGTCGTGCCGCCTGGGCTCAGAGGCGCAGTGGATGACATGAGCCGGCAGCTAGGAGGAGCCATTGTGCAGGTACGCTTTTGCTGCTTGTGTTTTTTTTTTCTCAAAGGGTATTCTGCTACCACTGCTGCAGTTCTCGAAAGGTATGCTGCTGCTGCTTTTGAGAAAACTATGTCTCCTCTGCCGTCCCCGAAACCCACCCCTATGCACCCTTGAACCCCCAACCCAACTACTTCCCATCCTTCGCCCCCATTTCCCCTCATACTGCTTCACAGTTTTCCTCCAACCACCTCTCCCTTCTGTCCCTGCACCCGCCTCCTCCTCCCTCCCCACTTCCCCCCTCAACCCACACACCTTCCCACCCTCCGCTCCTCGCCTCCCCATCCCCTCTCCCAGGAGGTGCTATCAGCGGTAGCCAAGGGGGCAGTGGGGCACGAGGCAGAGGCAGCCTTAGCAGATGTGCTCAATGCACTCTGCTGCACGCATCCCCGCGAGTGTGAGGCGGCCATCGTCGCTACTCTCTCCGGCCCCGCCTCGCCCTGCCGCCGCGCCGAACTCTCTCCCCGGCATATTGAGCTCTTTGTCGCAGCGGCCACACGCCAACCGCCACATCCCCGCCGCCGGTTCCACTGTAAGAGGATCCGCTGCAGTATCGGGCCGAGCATTGAGCTGTTAAGAACTACTGCAAGAGGCCCATAATTTTTTAATCTTGCGCGTTGTTTCTAGTAGTCCTGTGCTGTGAACACCTGCTTGGATGAATTCCTCTCGTTCCCTCGGTTTTCCCCTCTTTTTTCCCATGTGTGTTCAATTGGCCTTCCCTTTCGTTGTCTCAGGCCTGATGTCTGATTTTGGCAAAGTGACAAGTGCGCTTATGCCACCTGAGGCTTTTGAAGGCTACTGATCGGAGGCTCTATCAGCAGCTTGAGGTTAGGTATATCAAAGCTCGATACGATAAGTTTCGCTACCAGAAAGCGCTGTAATGCAGAGCCTCCAGATGGTTGCTGATGTGGATTGGCACAGCAGCATCGCTGGTGACACAAATTGCAAAAATGTCTTCGTGGCTTTGATTGGAACAGCAAGCAAGTGTTTTTTGCTTGCATCGGCACTTGTTAGATGAAATTATGGGGTCGAGTACGTGTGTTGTTGGATGGCAGAGATAAATCACATGGTATGTTTCCATCCATCAACTAGAGAAGACTAGGGGCATCTATAAACTATCATCTTATCGTTTCTCTCTAATATAGTAAGTAAACTCCAGTTATTGGTAAGGACATGGTCTATTTGCATTATGCGGTTGGAACAGCAAACAACAAGACTCGTTCGTATTTATGTATAGGCACTCGATGTGCTTAGAGTTTCATTGCGAACAAATAGAATCAGTGCTCTTCCGTGAATGAAGCTAAGTCGAGTATAGGAAATGTAGGCACTGCATGCCTGTCAAAAACAGAAATTGATTCGTGGAAGCATTTCGCGCATCTGTCCCCCTTGCAACCACCACCTTCAAATCTTTTACAGCAAGCGGCCGAGGAGGAGCCTTGGTCTCAAGCCTCGAGAATTTCGGCAAATATAACGCGGTCCGTGAGCTCAACTGGACGTGGCGGCGTGAAATTCACGTGAGCAACGTGACGGGAGCATCTCGTCACGTGGAAACGTTCAACGTGGACCGTGTTCATGCTTTGTAGAATCAGATTTGAGAGCGGTGCCTTGATTCGGAAAACTGATGCGAGACCTTGTCATTTCTTGCAAAGCGGCTGCTTCTAGAAGTACGGCGACATCATACTGTCGAATGTTGCTGGAAGGGCACAAAAACTGCTGGTGTGGTGTGGGAAGCTTTACAGTAATATATTTTATGTAGGGCAAAATATTCGTTCACCACTGGTCCTGAACAGAAATCGACATGCCCAGAGCAATCGAGTACCGACGCTCCTGGAATCCTAGGTGTGCTATGTACCTCGGATGATTCGGGGCATGTCTAATAAAAAGACATCGGCTTCAGTGCAGACATTGCACCCACCATCTCCTGCTGCGTCTTTGCCAGCCATTGTCTACAGTTGAGCATTCTGACCGAAACAGAACCATCCAGCGACCGACGGGGCAGGCAGGCGGCAACGTTTAATGATTTTTCCCACATGTCGTCTGTGTGCTGGTTGGCGGGGCGCACGCAGTTGAGAAGGTTGACCCTTGAGAACCCTGACCATTTCTGTAGGCACTGTTGTTCAAAACGTTGTTTTCGTTGTTTTCACACCCAAGGGCAACTTTAATTAGTTTCACTTAAAACGAAGACTGTTTCGTACGATTCTAATAATCAAGAAGGTATTGTCTTAAAATGCTATAAGAGCAAGGGACACAATCAGAGTCGCAACAAAAACATGTTGATAGCCCCTAGCTTCTGGGTGCCTGATCGATCAAGCTGGAAAAACATGGAGGAAGTCTCACAGGGCGTGATGCCGAGACATCACACATGCAAGCTGAAAAAACGTGTAGGGTACCACGGGTATGGGGCTATGTGTAGGACGTGTCACGGTTGCCTCTGATCGGCTGTGATCTGGTCAGGGCTGATCAGGTCGGGGCGCCCCTGCTTACTGTGCTCGCGCCGCCCGATCAGACAAGAAATTCGTCGAGTATTCCAGGTGTTTGCCTGGCATGCGTTTCACCCTTTCCTTCCAACTTCGTGCCCACTTTGGCGAGGGCGAAGACCTCAGCCTGGAACTAGCGAAGTTCGATGTTGCCCTGTAATCTCGCATCGAGAGGCGTCCAGAAAGTTTTGCCAGGGTATTGGTTGTGCGAGAGCTTCACGAAGCCTTCTACAACTCTGTAACTCTTCGCTGGCGTCGCTAGGTACCCAACCCAATGCAATCAACTGATCGTCGGTGATTGTGTGGGGTTGTGTTTGAATCGGCTGTTTTTAGCGGTTGATCGACTTGGGGCGATCAGCTGATCGCGATCAGGTGATTGCCCCTGATTGCCCGAAATCGCTGAACTAGCTTCCTGGAAGTGATTAAACGACTCTGATCGGGGCGATCAGAAGCAAACCGTGACACGTCCTTAGGTCCAGCTGGGGGTCCTCACCTTACGTTACACATCCATCCAAAAAGACCCGCCACCACCAACCCCAAAAGCACCCGGTGTGCACCTAGAATATCTGCCCCTTTTATTCCAGTAAAGAAAACAATACCCGTTATATTTTCTCGTTCATCTGCATCGGTCGTGTGTGAACACTTTCCCTCCGAAATTAGTTGTCTCCTCCATTGGTTTTTTTCGTCTAGTTGAAGCTCGAGCTCACGTGCGAGCAGGAAATGATGCTGTGCAACGCGGATATGCTAACAGGAAGCGGGTGGTGATGAGTATCTGCGTTGTGGTCTCCCACGCACGAAAGGCGGTGGGGTCCCACCTGTCTGCCCATGTATACGTATGTACGCCCGCCGTAAGGTGGCTCAGCTTGGAGGAGCAACAACAGCTTCAGAAAACAGAGAGCACGGACGAGATTTATAGAGGCATAGAGGCAACAAAGGGAACAGGAATCGAATGGGAGAACCCAGGTGTCATGGGACTCAGGCTTCACGTGAATCAGGATTCAGGAACCAAATATCTGCTCCTTGGTTCGTCTTCTAAAAAACTCCAGTCGCCATAGGGTGATAGTGGCACAACGAGCAATCGTTGGAAGCTTGATGGAAGAAAATTGTACTGTACCCAGCCCAGACACGCCAAATGAAACCACCAAGCCACCTCAATGTTTATGACCGATTGGTTCCGACCTCGAGATTAGCTGCTAGGAAAGCGGCTTTGAGAACAAGTTCGCATCCCACAACCCATTTCCTTTCCCTTTCCCAAAGAATCTCTGGTGGTAACAGCAAAACGCACGGCGAATTCTGATTAGTATTCACCAAGACGAGTTATCTTCGCGTAGCGAAAAGAAGCAAGGTCGGACCGTGAGTCAGGGTCAGTTGAACACGAGCATTAAAGATGACGGAGCAGCAGCCCGAACGTAGTACTACTATACGGCAGCGCCAGCAGCCGCAGCCGCAGCCGCAGCAGCATTGCCGGGATGCGAAAGAGCGGCAGATGCAGCAACGACAGCAGCTGGAGTATCGTGCTCAGACATTAAGAGAATCCGGCTCGCGCGCTGCGTCAGGAGAGCACCGCGCGGCTCGCATGATGATAGTGTCTCAAGAGAATCAGAACGATGTCGCGGCTGACAGTCCTGTCGATATTCTGTCCCCTTTAACATTAGCCCGTTTGAGCGGCTCTTCTAGTACTCGAAGCGGCAACGGCGGCTCTCGCAGTACCCCGCGAAGCGTCCCTGTGATTGATGTTACCACTGCGGTTGCGACGGATCCTGCTTCTTGCGGTTCCGCCGGCAATGTCGCACGTGCGACGACGGCGACAACGGCGGTACGTCGGGTTGCAATGGCGGGCGATAGATCCGGCGAGAACGAAGAGGCTGCGACGACACCGCCGGGGAATTCAGATCGCCGTAGTCGAATGGTGGCGGTACCACTCGACAGATTCGAAACGCCTCAAAGTACATTGGTTTCCGCCGAACGCGAAAAAATAACTCGCGATGCCCGGTGCGGCGCTGTTGGAAGAACCCGGCGCACCGACTCGGAGCCGCGACGGCGACAGGAACGGCCCGGCCATCGTGGATACGCCGTCCGTCACGGCGGTGACGCCGGCTCTCGACGCGGCGACAGCGACGCGGCAGCCGTCAATGCTTCCACGCCGCATCCCACGGCCAACCCCTCCCGCCGCTCCCCTGCGTGCTCCCCCGGCGACGACGGAACGCAGGTCGCGCGGGACAATACCAATACCAATACCACCACCACCACCACCACCACCACCACCACGGCCAATAAGAGCAGCAGTACCTCTTGCGATCAGAACCGCCGGCAGCTCCACCGGTTGTCAGGATCACTAGCAAGCCGGCCTGGCGCAGCGCGCACGTCGGCGGGTTCAGATCCGGATCTGGATGAGCCACCCAAGAAGCGCCACCGTCCGTCCGATGACTGCGGCGGTGATCGCGGCGGTGATCGCGGCGGTGATCGCGGCGGCGCTCCTGATGTCGCCGGTCAAGAGCGTGCTGGTGGAGACTCAGCCGCCGCGGCCGCCGCCGTCGCCGCCGCCGCCGTCACTGCTGCACCTGGTACTAGCAGCGCAGCAGCTTTTGGGGCCGCGGCAGTGCGGATGATAGCACCTGGGGCATTCCCTGCTGCTGCGTCTCCCTTCCCCTCCTCCTCCTTCGCTTCCCGCTGGCCCATCCTCTCCGCACCCTTCGTCGCCGCACACTCTCCTGTGAAAGCTTCTCGTCTGCTCACCACCACTGGTAAAAACGCCCATTCCTTGCAGCAAATGCTACCTGCGGCTGGGATTTCCCGTCCCTCCGCTGCCACCACTGCGAGTGGCGCCACTGCTGCTGATGCCGCTACAACTGGGGCAGCGGCAGCTGTAGGTGCAGCAGCAGCCAACTTTATCCCCTCCACAGCAGGAGCGACACGAGCAGGAGCGGCGCCACGGGTGGTGCCGTTGCCGTTACCCGCTCCTGTGGTTCTCGGTGTGCCAGTGCCATCCTCTGTGATCCTAGCAATGTCGCGTGGAGCGACAGCGTCAGCGACAGCCACAGCAGATCCGTCCACAGCTGAAGCAGCAGCAACTCTAGCAACCGCTGTGTCGGATGGGCGAGGGATGGGGTGGGCAGGCGGCGCCGCATCAGCAGCAGGGGGTTGCGGAGCGATGCTGACGCCGCTGAAGCGCAAGAGAGGGCGACCATCTAAAAAGGACCGAGCAGAGCAGTCACGCCTCTTCCTGCAGCAGCAGCAGCGGGAGAAAGCAGCTGTCTCTGCCGCTGCAGCAGCCGCGTTGGGATCAGCGTCAGCAAGGGCTCTATCCGCTCGCTTGGGCTTGGCAGGGAGTGCATCGATTGCGGGCTATGCGTCGTCGTTTGCTGACTGCTCCCTTTCAGACTCCAATGCTGCAGTCCCCTGTTTCCCATCCCCCGCTGCTGCTCCAGTCAGCGTTTTTACCAACACAAGGTTTCCAGCTGCTGCTACTGCTACTGCTGCTACTGCTGCTACTGCTGCTGCTGCTGCTACTGCTGCTGCTGCTGCTGCTGCTGCTGCTGCTGCTGCTGCTGCTACTGTTGCTTCTTCTGCTGCCGCCGCCACTGCTGCAGGTGCTGCGGCCGCTACTGCAGGTGGCGCCAGCGCTGCAGCAGCCAACATGCACCTTCCGTTTGCTGCACTGACGAAAAACCAGTCCGTCTGCTCCCCCACGCCTCCGCACCCTGCAGCACTGCTCACTGCTGCTCCTGACGCCTTTGCCGGGTTGAGAGCGGAAGTGTTTGCGGGCATGGCCTGTGTGCCTGGCGCAGTGGCGCTAGGCTTTCCCTGTGCTCCGCTGACTGCAGAGATGCAAGCCTGTGCTGCCAAGGGCTTGGTGGGACAAACAGGGCTGTTGGGTTTGTACGGAAGGAATGCTGTTCTGGCTTCCGGTGCTGCTGCGACCAACGGTGCTGCTGCTGCTGGCGCTCTTGCAGCAGGCATGAGCACAGGCAGCGGCAGTCAGGGGTGGATGCTGCCGCACATGTTCCCCCTGGTGCCGCCTCAGGTGTTGCCTCAGGTGTTGCCGCAGTTGTTACTGCGCGGTCAGTTCCTGTTACCAGGCACCAGCAATGTATGTAAAAACTATTTCCCACCGTTACTCCCGCCTCTGCATGCCAGTCTGCCTCAAAGCCTGCAACCCCCCTCAGGGCAGCACGGCACAGCCGGTGGTTCAAGGCAGGACGCACCTGCTGGTCCTGTCGAAACAGCAGCAGCAGCCGCAGCAGCAGCCGCAGCAGCACGAGGAGGAGGAAGAGGAGGAGGAGATGTGGCTGCACCTGCTGCTGCGGCCAGGTTTTCAGCAACTGCAACAACAGCGGCACCGGAAGCGGCAGCGGAGATTGGAGGAGCGACAGCTGCAGCAGCAGCAGCAGCAGCCGGTGAAGGTGGGGAGACGGAAACAAGAGGAGAGGCAGTGGAGGCTGAGGGGGACGGTTGGAGAGAGAGGAGAGGGGTGCATGGGCAACGAGGGAGGGAGGAGGAGGATGAGTCAGAAGGAGGAGGTGAGGGGGAGGATGATGAGTGGAAGAGCGAGGAGGAGGAGGGGGAGGAAGAGGAGGAGGAAGACGAGAGGGGAGGAGAGGAGCAATGGGAGGAGGGGGGCGTGACGGAACGAGGGGTTGCTGATGCTGCGCCTGCTGCTGTTGCTGTTGCCTGTGCTGCTGTGCACTCTCCTCCGTTGTTCCCAGCATGGCGCCAGTCAGGCGCAGTGCTGGCAAGAAACGCTGGTGGCGCTGGCGCTGGTGGCGTGGGCGGTGGTGGCGCGGGTGCGGACAAGTCAGAGGCTGGGAGTTGCGGTGGCGGGAATAGCATAGTTCGAGTCCCTGCATTGGCTCATGTGCACAAAGCTGCGAAAGCAGCTCATGCGGGGGTTGATAAAGGGCAAAGAAGGGTAACTAACGAGGCTCGTCAGGAGGACAACGAAGGGGTGAAGCAGGGGGTGAAGGGAGGATATAAAGCAGGTGGTGAGAGGGCCTTACGGCCTGTTCAAGGGTCTGTGCGGAGTGGGTCTTCAGGCAGTTGTGGTGAGCAGAGAGAGCGGCTAGGCGTGGGTAGCACTGGCGGTGTGAGCAGGAGGAGAATGGCAGAGGAGGAAGACGAGGAGGAGGAAGAGTATGGGGAGGAGGAGGAGAAGGAGGATGAGGAGGAGGCGGAGGAGGAGAAGGAAGGAAAGCAGCAGGAGGAAGAGGAGGTGGATTCGGGGGGAAGTAGCGAATTGAGAGAAGCAGCAGCAAAAAGAGGAGCAAGAGGGGGAGGCAAAACGAGACGGGGGACGAAAGCAGGCAAGGCACGAGAGGGCCGTGCAGCACTGACAGCAACAACAACAGCAGCAGCAGCAGCAGCAGCAGCAGCGCCAAAACCGTCGTCAGGTGCTGTGCCTGCGCTGGACTGGATGTTACTGCAGATGCGGTCGCGCGTTGCATTGCCTGTAGAGGCTCTTCAAGAACAGGCGGATGAATGCTGCCCTGCCGTGCTGGCGCGAGCGACTTTTGAGGCGCCCCAAACGGTGTTAAAAGCACAGGCGCATGAACGCCGACCTGCTGTGCTGGGGCGAGTGGGGGAGGGAGTCAGGGAGGGAGGGAGAGGGAGCGGGGAGAGGGCGAGGGAGGTGGCGAAGGAGTGGTGCAGGGAGAGGGACAGGTTGGAGGAGAGTTACGGGAAGAGGGAGGCGGGGAGGAAGGAGAAGAGGGAGTGGGAGAGGACGATTGGGAGGGAGTGGGACGGGAAGATGGGGAGAGAGAGTGGGGTGGAGAGAGAAGGGGCGAGTGGAAGGGAGAAAGGGAGTGATGGTGGGATGAAGGGGTATGAGGGGGAGGGGATGACCAGGCACAGGAGAAAGAGCAGGCGGGTTTGTGGGGGGAAGGAAACTGGAGAAGCCAGGGAAGGATTGGATGATGAGGCGGCAAGAGAACAGGGAGAGAGGCGTAGTGGGGACCAGTGGAGAGGAGCTGAGAGGCGGATGCAGAGGAGGAGTAGAGAGGTGGAGAGTGTTGGGGATTATGGCCTGGATGCTGGTGCTGCTGCTGCCACTGCTGCTGCTGCTGGTGGTGCTGGTGCTGTTGCTGCTACTCCTTGTCCATTCATCTCGCCCCATCCTGTCGCTCCTGCCTCTATTGCTGCGGCTGCCATCGCAGCAGCGGCAGCAGAGGCAGCAGAAGCAGAAGCCAAGGCCTTTCCCCTGTCGTTCTTCCCAGCAGCACGCAGTGCAGCCGCTTCTGTGTCTGCCTCTCTCTCTGTCAACGGTCGCCCCGCGCCTCCTCCTCCCCCTCCTCCGCCACCGCCCCCTCCTGCTCATGTTCCTGCTCCCCCTCCCGCTTCTGCTCTTCCGGCTGCTCCTCCTGCTTTTCCTCACCCTATTTTTCACAGCACAGCCTCGCCCTCCTTCTTTGGTTCGTCTGCCACTGCTGCTGCCGCTGTAGCAGCAGCTGCTGCTGCAACAGCTAGCACCTACGGACTTCAGCAGCACAACCCAGTCCTGCCTTTCCTCTCCCCTTCTCTTCTCCAGCAACACCCGTCACTTTTCTCCTCCTGGCCTGCACCTGTTTCCGCTGCGCCGTACCAGTCTTCTGCTTGGTGTGAGGCATTCAAAGCAGCGGCAGCAGCAGCTGCTGCTGCATCGGCAGCAGGGGCATGGGGGGGAACAGGTGTGGGTGGGGCAGGGGTGTTTGGAAATCCCGGTTTAATTGCGAACATAGCAGCGAATGCGAATGCGAACGCTAATGAGATTGTGCGAGATGGACAGGTGGGAAGTTTTGATTGGCAGAGAGGAGGCAGGGGAGGATCAGGAGCAGGACTAGCGGAAGCAATGGCTGCGCTTCATCGGCAGCAGGAGAGGCTGAAAGGGGTGCTGGAGAAGGGAAGGAAGGGGTTTATACAGAGAGGGGAAGCGAGCGAGAGGCAAGAAGATAGGTGGGATGATGCGGGTGAAGTGAGGAAGGGAGAGGGTGGGAGGAGGGAGAGTTCTAGGCGAAATGAGTGGGAAAGGAATGACCGTGTAGGAAGGGGAATGGGTGGCCAGGTTGCTGCTTTCGATTCCGCGGCTGCTTCTGCTGCTGCTTCTGCTGCTGCTGTGAGGGGCTTGTCTCCTTGGAATCGTGTTGTTCCCAGCCATGACCCTCCCATCCATCCGGCACTTTTGAGGCAGGCGTTGCTGCGTAGCTGGACTGCTGCCAACAACTCTCCTGCTGCTGCTGCTGCTGCTGCTGCTGCTGCTGCTGCTGCTGCTGGGCTGAACGCATGGAACAGCAGCGACAACGCTGGTGGTAATGCGTTGGGAGGGGTGGGGAGAGCGGTGGAGACAGGAGGGACGAGGCCTGAAAGATGGCTGGGGGGAGCTGAGGAAGAGGGGGGGCACGTTAGAGAGGAGGAGTGGAGTGAGGAGGAGGAGGAGGAGGAGGAGGAGGAGGAGGAGGAGGAGGAGGAGGGGGGGGAGGAGGAGTTAGAGGAAACGGAGGGAGAGGTCAAGAGGCGGGGAGTGGCAGAGGAGCGGTGTGAGAAACGAGACGGCGGTGTGGGATGCGCTACTTTACCCGGGTGGGAGGAGTGGGAAGGCGTGGCAGCAGCACAGGACCGCGTGTGGACTGGTGCTCGGTTCAACAGTGCCCGGCCTGCTTCCATCACCCGTGGATCTGCAGCGGTGGCTGGAGCTGCACTTCAGTCTCATGTGAACCGCCTCACCACTGACAATCCTGCTGCTGCTGCTGCTGCTGCTGCTGCTGCTGCTCCTCCTCCTCCTCCTCCGCCTGCTGCTGCCTCTGCTCTGCCTGCCGCTGCGAGTGAGCGTAGGAACAGCCTGCCCGCCCAAGGGGTACTTTCGTTCCTGGGAGACGCCTCGGCGCTTGCACCTGTCGCAGGCGCGGCAAAGGGAGAGCAGCAGCGGGTGGCTGCACCCCCGCGGTCGCTGCAGCGGTGGGGCTTTAGTGGAGTAGTCCAGGAGATGGAGAGCTGCTGGGTGGGAGGGGATGATGGCTATGCGCAGAGGAAACTCTTGGACGAGAGGACAGCAGAGGTGGGGGTGGACAAGGGTCTTAGGTCGCGGGTGATGGGAGAGGCAGGGATTAGGGGCAGAGGGGGAGTGGGAGTGCGGGAGAGTGTGTGGGAAGAGGAACGCGTGCTTAAGGCTTGGAACAGCCAGTTGGCTGGTCCGTCTGAAGCTACTGCGCCCCATGCTGCTTGGCTTGGTGCTGCCTCTCGCGCTGCTGCTCTTGCTCCTGCTGCTCCTGCTCCGGTTGCTGCTCCTGCTGCTGCTGCTGCTGCCGGTCCCACTGCTGGTACTAGAGGCCGTATTGCGGGTGGCAGTGAAACAGGTGTGACTGCAGCAAACCGCCAGTGCGCATCCCTGTACACACCACCACCTCCTCCTTCTGACACCTTTCTACGCAAGGTAGCACCTGCAAGGCTGGTGCGTCCGCTTGGAGACAGTGGGCGAGGAAGGGGAACGGGAAGCTCCTGGGGTGGTGCGATCACGGATGTTGCTGTCAGCACTGCTGGCTTGACATCTGCTGCTGCTTCTGTTCCCGCTGCTGCTGCTCCTTTTCGGTCAGTTTCAGGTGATGCTCCTATGGGAAGAAGTAGAGACCAGTACGCTGGTGCAGGTTTGGGATGTCTGCAGCACCCAGGTGGGGGAATGGCAACCACCAGTTTGCCACACGTGGCTGGTATGCAAGAGCTCCTTTTTGGAAATCGTGTGCAGGCCATGCAGAATACAGGCCAAGGCGGTCTTGGTGGGCACGATGGCAATAAGGGAGCTTATTCTTGGGTGCTACGGAGGGGAGGGATAGGGAGTGGTTGGGGTAGGGCAGAAGAGCAGGATGCCTTGGAGAATCAAAGAAGAGTGAATAGCAAGGAGGAGAACGAGGAGAATGACTTGCAAGAGGCAGTGAGAGTTGCAAGGGCGGCTGCTGGTGCAGTGGATCTGACATTGAAGCTTTGAGGTTTGAAGCCGGAGAGGGTTGCTTGCCATGGTTGCTATACTTGCACCCCCACATGAATTGACGCAGGTAGATTCGACTATTCTTTGTGTATTTCCACCCTGTACAACCTGTTTGTTGATATAACACACATATTCTTATAGCACTCATTTAGTATCAAAGCAACAGTTGCGGTACATTTGACATGACACCATAAAAAGCGTGACTCAAAACAAATTGCTACTGCCAGATCAAAGGTGCTTAAAGCTATCGCCTACATACTTCCCGCAGGAGGACTCAGTTTATCACTTGAAAACCTGGTAGCACAGGGCTTCGCTCCAACCTTGAGTGGCGAGGTGCAGTTACTGCTTTATGACAACCCAACCCCTGCTCCAAAAATTGGCCTGCTCAGGATTGGCTTACAATTTTCGCGCCAATCTCCTCCTGTCAGAGTTATATTATTGTAACTGCATGTAGATATAGCAGTAGTGGAGTTATCACATTCTGTTTGGTGGATTACCCCCTTTCCTATCATATCTGTACCCTTAGCTCTATAGTGAAGTCCTCTTTCATTGCCAACTCCCTCACACTCTACCTCCTAGCATGGCTCCTAAGGCTAAACCCTAGCAACATATCCTGACATGGTACAGAGCAGGAATTTCTCCTGAGGACCTATTTTTTTTAATGATCATGGGCCCACCCGTCGCGCCGCCCGTAATGCGCCCCGCGGGTCCCCCGAATCGCCCCGTGGACGAACCCCGCGGGTCCCGTTTTTCGCTTTCTGCAGGCCCTTCGTTTCGCGTCGCACCCGTGCGCCCTTTTCGTCCGTCACGCTCCCCCCGTCGCCCCGCGATCCGCCTTCGCCAGCGCGGACGCCAGCGCCACGGCCAGCCGCGAGCGCCAACGCTGCAGCCAGCCGCGAGCGCCAGCGCCTGCGCGGACCGCCAGCGCCACCGCCAGCAGCTGCGACGGCCGCCAGCGCTAGCGCCAACGCGACCGCCAGCGCCGGCAGTGGGTGATTCCGCCCTTCCCTTCCGTCGTGGGGGGGGGGGTTGGGGGGAGGGGGCGGGTGTGAGGAGCCTGCCGCTCCTCCCTCCCTTCCCTCTTCCTCTCTCCCTGCAGCAATTGTTGCTGAGGGGAGGGGGGGGGAGAGAGGGTAAGGGGGGATAAAGGAGGGTATGAGAGAGAGTGGCAGAAGCAGCAGCCCTGCATGTGTCAGAATGAGGAATGGATGTTGCATTGATGTTGGTTGGGGTACATATGACAAACCCTAACTTCTGTACCCCCTAAGACAAACCTCACTACAGGCTACAACATTTGACACACCCCCATAGCCTAAGTGAGGGGTGTCTAGCAAAAACAAAAAAGAGTACGGTCACAAGACCAGTCCAAAAGAAAACAAAGCTCAGGGTGGATCACAACGTCACCACACACTCTGAGCACAAGCAACAGTGGCCACAAGGCCAGTCCAAGAGATCACAAGTATATATAGTAAGTGTACAGACGAAGCAGGCAATAAACTCAAATCTACGCATGACTAGAACCTGTGTCAACAAGGCCTAACTGCACACAACACCTCTGGTGGTCACAAGGCGGAAGCGCCTTGGTGAAGATGTCTGCAGTGTTGGCCTCGGACTCTACAAACTCGAAGCGAGCCTGTCCACGCCTCTGCAACTCTCGCAGAAGAAAGTACCTGACGTGAATGTGCTTCACTCTGCTCTCCAGTCGCGGCTCACGACAGAGGAGGATCGACGCCTTGTTGTCAGTAAACAAGGTCGGTGCAGAGCTCGGCCGCTCACCAAGGTCGGCGAGCAAGAAGGTCAACCACCGCAACTCCTGTGCCGCCATGGCACCAGCGTAAATCTCAGCCTCAGCTGTAGAGGTCGAGACAGAAGAGGAGCGCGTGGAATGCCAGGAAACAGCTCCAGAACCCAGACTGAAACAGTACCCCTGAGTAGACCTGTGAGTCTCAGCGTCGTCAGCGTAAGAGGAGTCACAGTGACCAGTGAGTACGACAGACTGCTGCCCTCCAAGAACTAGCCCCACGCCTGATGTAGTCGCTAGGTACTTCGCCACCCTCACAGCTGCCGTCCAGTGAACAGGACGGTGTCTCCCTGGCGCAACAAAGCGCGCAAGGATGCTGAGAGGGAAGGCGAGGTCCGGGCGAGTACAAGTCATCAGGTACATGAGGCAACCCACAAGCTCTGCGTAGGGACCACTAGGCTCAAACGGCTCGTCAGGAAAGGGACCAGTGAGTCTGTGGTCAACAGCTAGAGGTGTGCGCTGTACGGTGGAGTGCTGAAGCCCGAACCGCTGAAGGACCTGCTGCACCATGTGTGACTGTGAGAGTGTAATGGTTTGAGCGGCTCTGACCCTGGTGATCTGCAGGCCAAGGTAGTGGCGCAGCTCACCAAGATCAGTGCACGTGTGTCTCTTCTGCAGTTCGGACTTCACGTCTGCCAAAGCAACCCTGTCCGAAGTGGCGAAAACGAGGTCGTCGACGTAGACCAAAACAAAGAACGGTGTGGAGCCACGACGAACGAACAGCGACGGGTCGGCAGAAGACGGCTGGAACCCAAGGTCAGAGAGGGTAGAACGCAGAGTGTCGTGCCACTCACGAGGGGCCTGGCGAAGACCGTAAACAGGTCGCCTCAGCCTCCACTGGGTCCCAGGAGGGAAGGTGCCAGTGAAGGCCGAGGGACGACGCAACCAGACCTCCTCGTGTAGGCTGCCCTGAAGGAAAGCAGTGGAGAAGTCGAGAGAGTGTAACTCGTAGTCTCTCTGTGCTGCTACGTGTAGTAACACCCGAAGAGTGGTCATCTTCGGGGTAGGTGCGAAGGTCTGAAAGAAGTCAACTCCCTCGCGCTGACTGAAACCTCTAGCCACGTAGCGCGCCTTGAAGACCGGGGGAGATCCCGGTGGCCGCTTCACCCTGTAGATCCACATGCCGTCGACTACGTTCGCCCCAGGGGGGGGAACCTCATCGACGTAGGTGCCTGTGGATCTGTAGGAGGCCATCTCTGCGTCCATGGCAGCTCTCCACTGAGAGGCCCAAGGCCCTGACACTGCCTCAGCGTAAGTGCGAGGAGTCGGAATGTCAAGGGCGTCGGGGTCACCCTCAGGGGCGAGGAGCATGGCACAGAGATGAGGGGAAGCGGCCGCCAGGAACTCTAGCTCAAACTGCCTGTCCTCTAGGGCGTCACAGCCAAGGGCAGACACACCCCCGACGGCCAGAGGACTGGTAGGAGGAGCAGCCACAAGCGTGGTGGCGTAGTCAAGGCGGCGGGTAGAGGCAAAGTCAGTAACTGCGGCAGTAAGAGCGGACACAGAGGACACAGAGGCACGAGGGTGAGTAACAAGAGAGGCGAGAACACGAGAGAGAACAGGACGGTACGTGCGGTAGTAGTCAGTGACAGGAGTAGGGAGCGACACAGTGAGGGCCGACTCAGGAGGAGACGGAAGCACAGACTGAGACGGACGAGGTGGACTAGAAAGAAGGAAGGCAGTACGAAGGTCAGTGAAGGGAACAGGAGACGAGGGACGAGCACGAGGGGAGCGACGAGTAGCCCAAGAACGAGACGGAGGAGGAGAGGACAAAGGCGGAGAACTGGGGAAAACAGCGGGGGAGGAGTCAGGAGGAGGAAACGTGGGACCGTAGACAGGAGGAGAGGCGGAGGAGGGAGGAGAAGGGGAGGGGAGACCAAGGATCCGAAGACCCGAGACAGGAGGAGGAAGTGGCTGCTGCTGCTGCGGCTGCGACTGCTGCTGCTGCGGACGCGGCTGCTGCTGGGACTGCTGCTCCTGCGGGTCCAGCTGCTGCTGCTGCTGCTGCTGCTCCTGCGGCTCCAGCTGCTGCTGCTGCTCCTCCAGCCGCTGTAACTCCCTCTCCTCTCTCTCCAACGCCAGCTGCTCGTCACGGGCACGGCGAACACGAGCCTGGTGCCTAGTCGGGTAGGGGTGGGGGGGTGGAGTAGTGTCCGAAGCAGCGGCAGCTCCAGAGTCCACCTCAGAAGAACTAGGCGCACCACCCCCAGAGGCAGCACTAACACCAGCTCCAGAACCAGGCTCACCTGAACCCGAAGGAGGCGCACCCTCACCCCCAGACGCAGCACCCCCAGTGTCCGCGCGGCCAGCACCAGCTCCCGGACGACAAGAGTCCTCTGCACCCACCGGGTCAGCTCCAACTCCAGAACCAGAAACTCCAGCTCCAACCCCAGCTCCAACTCCAGCACCCCCAGAACCAGAAACTCCAGTGCCAACTCCAGCTCCAACTCCAGCTCCAACTCCAGCACCCCCAGAACCAGAAACCGGTACAGGAACAGGCGCCGCACCAACCTCTCGAGAGCTAGCACCAGCGGCACGCTGCGAGGAGGACTGTGGGGAGGGAGGCTGTACCGGAGGGGCTACCGAAGGAGGAGGGGTAGCCTGGGACACACCTGACGGGGCTGGACCAGGGGGGGGAGGCTGTACCGGGGGAGCAGGAGGGGGAACGGCAGTCAGGAAGAGGGGGGGAGGAGGAACCGGGAGACCTCGACTGGGGTACCTGACGTAGTACGGAGTGGACTCCTCGAAACGGACGTCACGGGAGTCAAAGAACCGGTGAGAGGGAGGGTGGTAAAAGGTGAAGTCAGAGGAGTCCTCAGGGAAACCAAGGAAGACACAGGGGACGGCACGAGGCGAGAGCTTGTCCGCGGAGGTGTCGCGGACAAGAGCCAAGCACCCCCAGACACGAAACCGCGACGCAACACCAGGGGACCCTGTCCAAAGACTGGTCGGTGAAACCTCTGGTCGAGAGACACGTGGCCAGAGGTTCAGCTGGTGCGCGGCGTACCTGACCGCGTAGGGCCACAGAAAATGGGGGGCACAGGCGTGAGTCAGGGAGGTGCGGGCGATCTCCATGACCAGGCCTATGCGGCGCTCAGCAACCCCATTCTGCTGTGGGGACTCTGGAAGCGTCCAGGACTGACGAATGCCCTGCTCGCGACAGAATCCAGCGAGAATGCCGGAGCGAAACTCACCCCCA